CTAGTTAATTAGTAAAAGATATCTATAAATTAGCTTACTTTTTCATTAGTTATTTAATCTGGTTGTGATTCTAATTCTTTATCTTTAACTTAAATTCATTATTGTTAGCAGTTGTTTTATTTATTTATGGGCCGGTTTGTTTTCATATATATGTTGTTATTACTTTGGTGGTTCTTTTCTTTCCTTTCCTCAACGCGATTTATTTGTTTTATTTAAATCATTACATATCGATCCTCGAAAATAAAAGTCTTAAAATCTTTTCCTTTATAAAAACCCTTTCAGAGTTTATCTTTCTTTAGAAAGTAAACTACCCTCTACTCTTTCATAATATAGACGGTTTACTCTCTTGAGTAAACTTATAGTCATTCAAGAAAAGGAAGTAGTAGGCGGGCCCTCACAATTGTGATGTATTGCTTAGCCAATGCACAAAAATGCTGTTTAGAACTTGGTGTATCCTTTTCAAGTTTCCATATGGTATCAAAACAAGGATCAGACCAATATACAACCTGTCACAAGTAGAATATCAATACTCATATTTGTATCATTTACAGTGTTTCAGCTGTCTGAGTGAATCCAATGGGATTCGTTTCAAGATACATGTTCTTCACTCAACCGAGTCCAAAGATTTTCGGTCCAGTCAACAGTGGATCTGGCCACCAGTTAAGAATCGATATGGCCCCTGAATTCAAGTGGAACCATTGCACAAATGAGACATGCTCAGACCAAAACAAAAGTATGAGGAGTCTAGTACAGTGAAAAAAAAGCTAAGTGCCACAAGTTTGGGGCGGCTACAACAATGGTAGGATATAGTGTGGCACAAGAATCTGGATAAAACTGAGCATAACAGCACCAATCGGCCACCAAACTACACTTTTTTTGCGTGGGAATCACATAGTGTTAGTGCACTGTTAGCGGTTTTTTTTTTTGTTATGCACACACGGCCAGTGGCAACCCCTTTTTTGGGGGCCTATGTGGATAGGGTTAGCACCGACATAGAAGAATTCAGCTGGGCTAGGTAATTGTTTTTTTTTCCAACAGGATTCTGGCACACTAAACAGCTGTCTTAATGCTATGGTCAGAGTAACTGGCCACCATTGATGAATACAGGACCATCCAATTCGGGCAGATCCAGCCTAACAAAGCTAATCACACAGGGCCCCAAAGCATGAAGTGCCACAGCTGAGGATGTAAACCCAGTTGAAGATCTGCCCAAACCTTACCCACCAGTTTTGTTGGGCCAGGCTTGAAGCCACATGATCAACCCGTCTGGGCACTTCTCGGGTTGGGCCGATTTTCTGAGGGTTGATTTATCTCTCAAAAGCGGTCCGAACCTGGCCCAACCATTTTTTACCCTTCCAGACCACTCACTGGGTCTTGTGGGGTCACCCCGTCCCCCCCCCCCCTCTATACAGCCTGATCTTCACAGGCTGGGCTGGGGCAACACTGGGTAGTCACATTACCCATAATGGTCAGTGTGAACATAAAGTAAGGATTTTCCACTCACTATCAATGCTTTATGTACCCAAAAGATTTGAATTTGTTCCTGCACATTACACTACATTATCAGTTTTTTTTTTTTTTTTTTTTTTTTTTTTTTTTCATGCTTGTTACAACTATCAGGTGCAACATGCAGCTGATTTTTGATGATGTTGTTGTTGAAAAAACCACTAAAGATTAGTGAAGAGAGGCTTTTTGTGGTACTTCTGTAGAATGTGTTTAGGGTTGACTTAAACCTCTGGATCATACTGAGATAATCCATGATTTTATTGATTGATTCATTACCGACAATCGTTTACCTCATCACCCTATAACATACCAGCCAAAAAGCAAAATTTCCCACCACAAGTAATCAGATATGGGGGGTGTCCAGGGTCCTGTGCAAACATGATAAAGATACCTACATTCGTACATCTACGGTTATCCAATTGCCCAAACAAACAAAACCATATCCAATACAATACAATACAATAAACACCATAAACAAAAACTCCAACAAAAAAAAAACCTCATACATAACATCCCGCACAGAAAAAGAAAAAAAAAAACGATGAAAAAATAAAAAAATGAATGAAAGAAAAAAAAAAAAAAGAAAGAACTAGATCTCTCGAAAGAATGAAAGAATCGATGACTTGATACAACAACAAAAGGGAAATGAACGCGCAAGAGGTTAGACCGGATTAGCAGCGGCGGCGGCCGGTCCAGGCATCAACTACAACCCGCAACCGCGACACCCAAAAAAACGAAGAGAGAGAGAGAATAAGCAAGTCTGGGGGGGGGGGGGGAACAAAAGAAGGAAAAAAAACAAAAGGGGGGGGGACGCCCGCTCATGGTGAACGACAACAAGACCTCGCCGCCATGTTCCCACAACCCGTCGCCGACCTCGGAGTAACAGCGACTGAACTCGGGCTGGCTCAGGATCTCAAACTGTCCATCCATCCATCCAATCATAACAAATATCAGTGAGTGCCGGAGGGGTTGGTTCTCTCATGTGTATGAAAAAAAAAGAAAAAAAAACAGAGGAAAAGAGGAAAGAATGAATGAATGAATGACTGACGTAGTTGGCCAAACAATAAGCCTGCCCAAAATCCAAAAAAAAAAGAACACAAACGATCAACACTGCATCCCTCACCTCCCCTTCCCCTTCAACCCCCCCCCCCACAAAAAAAAAAAAACAGAGAGAAAAGGGAGAAGAAGGGATACCTTGACTTTAGCATGCAGCTCGGGGAAGACGAAGCTAGCGAGGAGGATGGGAAACGCGGAAACGGGATTGAAAGTCGCGGAAAGATGAGTGATAGCGAGGTTCTTCAACGAATGGAGTTCGTAGCGATGGGCGAGCCGATAGATGGAGAACGCCGAAGCTACTCCAGTCCCATAGACCGATCATCAAGTCAGTACAAGAAAAAAAAAAAGAGAGGAAAGAGAAGGGGGGGGTACCTTTGGGCATCATTTGGACCGGATGAGCGTGTGGGTCTCCGGGGATCCAGGTTGCCGATCGATGTGCGGCCGGCCGACTGGCCCCGGATGGCTTAGGAGCATCTGGGCCCGGATGTCCGGGCCCCGAACCCGAGCCCGTTGCGACATCCGATGTGGAGAGGACCGGCGACGCGGCCGGCTTCGGGGAGGCCGAGAAGGGCGGGAACGGGGGCAGGGTCGAGGGGTGGCGCGAGGCGGGATGGAACGGATGGGCGAGCCGCGAAGCCTCGGCTTCGGCATCCTCGCCCGCCGGGCCCACGACGGGCTCGCCAAACCTCTGCCACTCCCATCGCTCCCCATTTCCTTCCCCATTCCCTCCTCTATCCTCCTCCTCCTCCTCCTCTTCTTCTTCTCCCTCGCCTGCTCCTGCCTGCCCATCGGTAGCTTGCCCCGCCCGCAACGCTTCGTCTTGGTAGCTGCCCAGAATCGCGCCCAGTTGACACTGCTTTCGCACATCCTCTTCGTCGCTAAAGAAGATCCGATTCGAATACAACCATCGGATCAACTATCCCCCCGCACACAAAAAAACCCCATTCTGATCGTCAGCCTTAAAGGAGAGGAAGAGGAGAGGGAAAAGACTGACCCAATAGACGGTCACAAAGTCGAAGTCGGCGATCCGGATCAAGCCCAACTTGCGTCCAAACGGGGGAATGCCCAAGGAGTGATCGGATGAAGGAGCGGGACGGGAGCCGGCCTCGGCCCACCCCCCACCGGCCGCTTCGTCGGCCAACATCGTCCCGAAATAGTCCGAGCGAGAGCTGAGGATGCTGGAATGGGCATACAGGATCCGCTTCCTGAACCGACTATTCATCGCCCCTCCGCCCGCTGCTTCTAGCCCCGAGAATGCGGGACTGTCGGCCTCCTCTTCTTCGATCTCTGTCACTAGGATCTGGAGGTCAGAGGTGTTTGGATCATCGATCAAGGACTCTAGACTATCCAAAATCGAACTAAAGAATCCAAGAACATCTCAGTCACTATTTATCATCAGTGGGGGGGAAGAAGGACAACCCAACTGGGGCACATAGCTCGCATTGGGTATCTGGGGGATCGAGACCGTCGCGGGGGAGCCGATTTGGATGGAGAGGATGAACGAGTCGAAGAGAGCGACTCTAGGATTATCCAACAGACTAGAGAGCGCGGGAAAGTCATGACATTCTATACACAAAAAAACATTCGCGGATAACGGATCAAACTCCCGCGCCGGGCCGAAAAAAAGATTAAAAAAGACAGAGCGAACCCCAGAGTTCGCGTTCGCGTTCGAAACGATGCTCGTCGCAATAGGTGCGCCAGATCCAACCCTCGGCGGAGGATCCGAGGTCGGTGATCGGATGACGATGGACGGGGATCCTGGGTTCCTTGATGGCGATGAGGATGGAGGTGGAGATGGAGCGGGAGACGGGCCAGTCGACCTCGAGCTCGTGGCAGGTCAGATAGAGCGAAAGTCGCTCCTGGTCGTTGTATGATAAGGGTGCTCCTCCTCCAGAGGGGGATGGTTTGTTGGGAGTATTATTGTTCCGATTTGGACCGGGTTGGTGGGTGGTCTTGGTTGGGGTTGAAGGGGCGGAGGGACGTCGGTTATGTCCTTTGACTGTTGTGTGAATTTTTTTCAGTGTTTTTGGTGGGAAATTTTGGGCAGAGATGTGAATTGATGATGCTCACCGACTTCGACCTTCCATCGATCGCTTCCAAAGCTATAGCTGAGCACCTCTCCGGAGGAGCCGAGGGTGTCGTGTTCTTCGGGGGAGAGTGCCTCGCGATGGAGAGGGTTGAGTGGCTGTTCGATTGAGTCTCTGAGTGCTCTTAGGTTATGGATGGGGATCTCGACGCCGGTCCAGGCCCACTGGCGCGGCCATTGCTCGGATGGGCTGTTCGGAATGGCGTATGGGTTGGGTGGGGTGTGTGTTTGAGTTTGTGGGTGATGATGATGATGATGTGGTGGTGGTTGGTGGGTATTGATGGATGAGGATCGACTGTCTGGTCTGTTGCTATAGGGGATGTTTCTGTTTTGGTGGTGGTGGTGGTGGTGGTGTTGGGTTAGTAGTGGTGGTGGTGGTGGTGTTGGTGTTGGTGTTGGAGATGATCTGAGTGGTTGTTGGTTGATGATTGATCTGAGATGTGGTTGTGGTGAGTAGTGGTAGTGGTTGTTGTAGTTTTCGGGCCAAGTGGTGCTGTTGTTGTATGATCCTGCAGTGTAGTTTGTTGTTGTTGTTGTTGATGGGGTTGTTGGCCTGTCGAATGCTGATAGGTTTCTGATTGGTTGTTGTTGTTGTTGTTGTTGTTGGTTGTTGTTGATGAGGATGGGTCTGGATTGGTATGAGTTTGATCGAGTGTTGCTGTTGCTATACATCCTTATGTTGGTTGGTTGTTGGTTGGTTGTTGTTTTCTCTTTGATGATGATGCTGTGTATGTAATTTGCTGTCTTGAGATATCCCCACGGGGGGCTCACTAGATGAACCCGGTGTTTGATCGGAATCTTATCTGCTGTGAAGTCTGAGCTCAAACTTCAAAGGGAAAAAACGAAAAAAGAAAAAGAAAGAAAAGAAGAACAACGAAACAGAAAGGAAACTAATCAACCGGGGTCAAAGCTCAACAGCACAGCAAGATGATCAAGAAATCGACGTAAGTACAAGCAAAAAAAAGAAAAGAAAACACACAAGAAACTGATGAAGCTCCCAATCTGGATCAAACAGTCCCTCGCCTATCATCAAGACCAACAAGACCACTACCACTAGCCCACTCCGACAGCAACAGCTCAACCAACTCAACCCATCAACACCACCAACCACTACAAAAACAGCAACAACACCCATCAAAAACAAAAACAAAAACACTTCACCAATCAACAAACTCAACTCACAAAACTCAACCCCACGATCAGCAGAGAACCACGACCGAAGGAGCTTCCAAGGAGACCACCATCGACACCGATACATGACTTACTCAGCAACAACTACCCCATCACCCAACTCAATCCAATCAAACCAACAAACCAACCACCACCACCACCAACAACAACAACAACAACAACAACAACATCTCACCCTACTCGGAGCACCCCCCAATGCACACTATTCACCACACTACGGACAACCCGTCCAACGAGCACCCACCAGCAAACGCAAACCAGCACCCCCACTCTCGCCCTCCTACAATCCTCCCAGCAGCCCCATCCTAGACTCCCTCACCCCTCGGACCCCCTCCCCCTCCCACTCCAACTCATCCTACCTCCACTCCCCAGAGATCTCGCCCTCAAGAAGAACCCATCGCAAGCTCATCAAGTCTCGCTCCCCCAGTCCCTCCCCCCGCTCCGGGACCGCGATCGTCAAAAAGATCGGCTCCGCACTCGTCGCCCCCTTCAGGAACTCCAACTCCAGACGAGGTTTGTCCTATTTCTTTCCTTCTCTCTCTCTCACAAAGCCTGTGCTGATCCTCGTTCTGGTGTAGGCTCAGACGCGTCTGAAATCGGGCTGAGCATCCAGGAAGTCAGTCGACTCAGCAGCTTTGGCCCCCCAGTCCAGCCCTCAGGTCCTGCTAGTTCGGCGGAACATCTGCCATGGATGCCGAGTGTGGGGGCGGCCGGGAGTCCGACGCCTGGAGCGCAAGAGGAAGACCAAGAAGGCTTGACGGAAGCGGAGCGGATCGTCCGAGCGAGCCGGAGTCGGGGGACGCTTGCCGACGGGACGACGGGGGCGTTCCCGGAGCGGGTGCTTCGGGTGGTCAACGGCTCGGCGAGTGTGAGCACCCGGGCGAGCGGGGAGAGTCGGACGAGAGATTTGAGCCTGGAAGAAGAGTCCTGCAAGACCACCCAACCGCTGAACATCGTCCCTTCCCAAAACTCGCGTCATTCGTACCTCTCCACATCCACCAAGGCCGGCTGCACGAAATGCGTGGCCCTGGAGGAGCAGCTTCGGGCCGAGGTCGCCCGGGGCAGAGCCCTCGAACGCGCCCTCGACGCCCAGACCCTCAAGCTCGACCAGCTCCGCAACTGGGCCACCGCCAAAGTCTCCTCGCTCGACCAGACCTTACAAGCCCAAGAAAAGCTGCTCCAGCAGGTCGAACAACGCATGGCCGAGCGCCATCAGCCGGATATCAAGAGCGACTATCTGATCGCGCTCCAGAAAGATTACGTCGAACTTAACGCCCGTCTGGCGCTCTTGGAGGCCAAAGAACATGAACATGACGAAGATGATCCTCATGACTCTTCGCCGCTTAGTCCGCCCTCACATTACGGAAGATCCACCGTCCCGGCCTATGTATCCAAGTTATTAGAAGACCCACGGGAGGTCCGTCCGTTACACACCCGAGCATACTCCACCCCGCCCCTGGCCACCGGTAAGGCCCGTCCGGCCCCCTCCACCTCCCCCTTCTCACGACCCTCCTGGAAACCCGCATCGCCGGCAACCTTGGCCTCCAAACTCGCCCCCCCTCCTCCCTCCACGCCCCGCTCCCCTCATAACCCCCGCTCCGCCCCCGTCACGCCTTCCTCTGCTTCGGGTAGACCGAGGTATACTTCCGCTCTCGGTGTCAAGGCACCCTCGCCGCTCGGGTTCGCGTATCAGACCCGCAAGATCATCGGTACAGTTCTTCCCCCTTTTTTTTTGTTTCTTCCTCTGCCCGGGCAAAAGTAATACTTAAATATCTTGGATGGTTTGTTTATATATATATATATATGTGTGTGTGTGTAGATAAAGATGGGGACGAGTTGCCGAAGCGGGCCTCGCCGACGGTCCCGATCCGCTCGCCGTCCCCACCCGCCCCCTCGTCCGGCTCCGCACGCATCTCCAACCCCGTCTCGCCTCGGATCTCCAGTACCACTAGTAACGGCCCCAAACATAGCTACGCCAGACCTACGCTCGCCTCCTCCTCTAGACTCTCCGCCCTTCATCCTTCCGCCTCCCCCTCTTCTTCCACTCTTCTCGCCAACAATAGGAAGCCCGATCATGCCCGCTCCGCTAGGGTCTCCGTCATCAACCCCCCTATCCTCCGTCCGGCCGCTCATCTTGGTAGTCCTAGACACACCGTCCCCTCTACCCCCTTCAATAAAAATAAGGCCGTAGGCGATCTTATAAGGTTGTTCGATCAGCCTAAATAAATCTCTCTTTCTTTTCTTCGGTCCCTTTTCTTCATTTTTTTTTTTTTTTTATCTTTTTTTTATCTTTTTTTTTTTTTTTTTTTTTTTGGATTTTTTTTTTTTTATATCCCTTTTCCTTTATATCCTTCATATCTTTATTTATTTTATTTTTTTTTTAGCTGCTTGGTTGTTGTTCCTTTTTTTTTCATCTTTCTTTTTCTCACTTTTTTTCCATCTTTCGTTATCAATTACCCATATACCGTTTCGTTTTTTTTTCTTCTTGCATCTTTCTGCCCTCCATCCATCTATTTCCGTTCTTGATTACGCCCAATACCCATGTGTTGCCCCCTTTCTTTTGTTGGCGGATGATTTTCTTCCCTTGACGACCCATTCTTCTGTGTTTTTTCTTTTTTCAGTCTGTTATGATGTATCCCTAATCAAAAAATTCGTTGGTTCCTCGTTTTATTTAGCCCCTCCCTTGTTTGGGTTGTCTGTCTGTGGGCGTGAGTCGGTGTAGGAGAGAAGGTTGATGTTCTTTTTTGTTGGTGGTGGAAGATGAACGGGCGTGGTCCCCCGGGTCTGATCGGGGAGATCAAGGATACCACACAGCCCGGCCCCGGGTAGCAACCTACATACCCCTTCAAAAACCAAACTTGAATATTTTGTTTGAAGAAAAAGCACGACGGTATGGCTAGTCCAAGGATCGATGGTAAGCACCTCATGAACACAGAAGAAGAGAGAGGATACTGATCGCAAACGCACATTTGGAAACAAACCAAAAAACCAGTGAAGCCCAACCTCCACTCGCCCCCACCGAGCCAACCGAAGACGACGCCGCCGTCGAGCGGCTCAGCTACCCCGAGCGTTAACAATCACCACAAGAGACTAGGATGTGTGCACCAACCGAGCCGGTTATGGAACGACGAGAACGACCAAGTGATCAAGAACCTGCTCGGGATCCTCAAGGCCCTCGAAGCCGCACCCCCCGCTTCCTCCAATCAGCCCCTTCTGGCTGCCTTCTGTCTCCGTTGTCGGACGGCTACTTCCCCCAGACTCGTCTGTCTCGGCTGCGCTGCTGTCCTCTGCTTCGATAACCTCGATCGGCCCGCCCTCAAACCTTGTTATCTTTCAGGCCATTCTACTAAATCCTCTAAATGTCTCCTCGGTTCGTCCCGGGTTTCCTGACAATCTCCTCACCCATTTCTTCCGGAAAATTCATGCTGATCTTTGTCGTTTGTGCGAGCGAAGGCTTGGACTTGAGTTGTAGAGAACTGATCTGCATGGTCTGTGGGACGATCGTCCAGCCGGACGACCATGAGCTCAAGATCCTAAGCCGTCCGTTTCCGGAGCTGTTTCCGCGTCCCCCAAGCAGGGCCCTGACGCTGTCCCGCAATTTGCACAGGCCGACTATTCCCACAGGTGAAGCGAGCGTATGCGCCGGGCTGTGTTGGACGGACGACGAGCACGATTATGGGTGGGTGAGCGAGAAAGAGAGAGAGAGAAAAGGCTCGATGGAAGAGGGGAGACTGACTGAAGTGTGTGTATGTTCGAGGGGAAGCAGCGCCCCGAGGCTTCCGGAACCTGGGCAACAGCTGCTACATGAACGTGATCCTCCAGATCCTCCTGCGGATCCCCGAGCTCCAGGGATACCTGCTCACGGACCACCATAACCGGCTCAAACATCGCTCCGCTGACGAGGTCTGGTGTTGCGCCTGCGAGCTCATCGACATCCTCCAGCTCCATCATCTCCAGCTGTCCCAACTCCAGCAGAATCGCTCCAAGGCTCTCGCCCCCGCTGAGCCCATCAGTCCCGTCGGCTTCCTCTATGCCCTCTGGCTCAACTCCGGCGACGGCGAAGAGTTTGCTGGCTATCGCGAATCGGACGCCCATGAATGCTTGCTCGCCTGTACTCCTCTCTCTCTCTCTCTCTTTATTTTGTTATCCAACTAAATTAATGAACCTGATTTGTTGGTTAATTTTTTTTCACTTGATTATGGAAGGTTTGAACCAACTACACACGGCGACCCAAGTGCCGACGCCGCAGGCCGGAGCCCATGCCGTCGGCCCGGCGTCCGGATCGACAACAACACCAACCACGATTGCCGCCGCCGCCACCACCACGATAGCTTCCGGGCCGCCGAGCAGCGCTGGCGAACCTACCACTCGCTGTCAATGCCCGATCGATCTCTTGTTCAGATGCGAATTGACCAGCCAAGTCGTCTGCGGTAGTTGTCGAAAGACCAGCTACAAGGTCGACCCTATCCTCGACCTTTCGCTCGAGATCGGCCATCTCAATCATCTCGAAACCCTCCGGCTCGAGGATTGTCTTCACAGGTTCCTTCTTCTTTTTCCCCTTTCTCTCTGTTGTTTGTGGGCAGTTTTTGAAGGGTTGATAGGTTTTTTTTTGGGATGGATCGTTGGGGAGACAGTTTTACGAAAGCAGAGCGACTGAAAGAGAAGTGTTACACCTGCCATCAATGTTCGGTGGCGTCGCCTGAGACGACGAAGTCGCTGACGATCTCCCGGCTGCCTCACATCCTTTGCATCCAACTCAAAGTCCGTCCTCTTCTCCTCTTCTTTTTCCTTAAACAGAAGGCGGAAAGATTCGTCCATCTTGTGGGTAATTGAGAGTTTTTTTCGGCTTGGACAGAGATTCGAACACCATCTTTCATCCGCTTCGAAGCTCGATCGGTTCGTAAAGTTCCCGTTAGTGTTGGACATGAAGCCGTTCGCGTCTCCAAACCTTGCCGAGAATCGTCCCGATCTTCTTTCTTCGGATGTCGACGGATAGTCCGTCTCTTCTCTCTCTCTTTTTTTCGTACTTGTCTTTCTTTGAAACAATACAAATGTTGATTGATGTGTCTTGATTTTTTTGGGGGGGACAGTTATTATAAATTAACTGGAATCGTTAGTCCCCCCCCCCTTCTTCTTTTTTGTTATCTCTCTTTCTCTCATTCTTCCTCTGTATTTCATTGATCTTTGTTTCGTGTTTGTCGGCCTGTCTGTTATTTCTGTTTAGGTGAGACATCAAGGAAACGTGTCATCGGGACATTACCAAGCGATAATATACCAAGACGAGCAGGTAAGAACAACACAATCTCCCCCCCCCCCAAAAAAAAAATCAAGTCATCTAACTTACATATGTGTGTGTGTGTGTGTGTTTGGCTGGGCTGTCTGTTTCTGGTTAATGATGGCGAATCAAGTATTTCTGTTTTAATGATGAATCAGTGTCGATTTTGAGACTCGAAGAAGTCCTGAAAGTCGAGGCGTATATCTTAGTCTACACCTTCATCCTCCCCTGATCTCACGCTTCCCTCATCCCTCTCTCTCTGCGTGCTTCTCTCCCTCGAACACTCATCTCGGGATGGTCGTTGTACTAGTACTATTCTCCTTTTTTTGCTCTTGCTCTTAAGCAGTCGGAAACGCCTGTGTTGTGAATTGGTTCCTCCCATTACATATGTATGGACTAGTATATGCCCCCAAATTTGGGGGCTGCTTGTTTTTGCCCCGGATGTTGGGGGTTTTACTTGTTTGAAGGTCCTATGGTGTAATAGCCTTCGCTTTTGAAGGTCGCTATGATTGTAAAGTCTTAAAAGACATTGACATGTGCAACATCGACGCCGGCGTTAGAAGCCGCATGAGAAATCAATACAAAGGCAGACAGTTTGTTTGGCCCTCTGAGGCCATTTTTTTAGTTATATGTAGATGGGGATCCGGGGCTGATCATCTTTTCATGTGCTGAACCAACAACCCCAACATTCCGATCGTGTCTAACGATCACTTGATGAGGGATTTGTTGTATCAAAGCCGGATCAAAAAGTGGCCCCGCCCGTCCAATTTATAAAAAGGACTGCTTGACACTTTGACGGGTTTCAGGTACATACGTAGAGTCCAGAGCAAAACTTTCCGCATTGGGTAGGCTTCGAGTCTGAAGACAATGCATGTCTGGACTGTCACAGGACAAGCTTCGCATCACTTTAAGCATCGCCTGCACAACATGGCTTTCATTCCCACAAGATCTTGCCTGTATGTAGGGAAGACGCGCGTCACCCGCAATTCTTCCTGATCTGGCCGTCCACTTGCTGGCCTTGGCCGCCGTCAAGCCCACAACGGGGACTGGTCTTGTGTCCTGCAAGATCAACTATGTATGCCGATGTGATGTGGTCAACTTTTGGAGGGTGATCTGCCACTCAAGCTATGTATTTAAACTCTTTGTATGTACTCAGCTTGACCATCTTATAATAGAACCTACACTATGTACAACAAAGAACCACATCTTTGGGCGGCGGCCGTGAGGCGTTGTTAATGGGGAAAAAACAATCAGCCAGCAGGTTTTCCCGGTGGCTGTGGTGCAGTCACGCTCGTTTAACTATGTAGACGCCGCCGCTATTACTTGTGCCTCTGGGTATATTCTTCCCATCGGCAGCCGCTGGTTGTCACTGCGACATTTCTGAGGCACAGTATGTACGCTGGTGTCGCCCTACACATCCACCATTTCCTCATGGTTCGATGCTCTTCGGCAGAAAACTGTAGCAGGACAAATACCTCACTATTCGCCATGGGGGTTACCTGCTAGAGTATGTAGCACCCAGCTTCCATTTGCCCGTTAAAAATTGTTGCCAACATACCTATTACAAGCCCTGACTACACTTCTACTAGCCCTCCAATCAGGAACATGTTCGAGAAAAGAGCTTCAGCAATCACTAGGGCATACGTTATCTGGATTGCTATTATCTATCTTGTCCAGGTTTCAGAGCCGAGGCTCTCAGTGACCCAATGCGGGACGTTCATCGATGCACTTGCGGGTTCGAAGGACAGAGTGGGTAAGCTCCAGTTTGTGTCTGCGTTCTTTATATAGCTGCATAAATAACTGCTCAAAAGATCCTTGTCAAATGGCTTTCGTAACCATCCAACATTTGTCCGAACCTTAGAGCACCCGCATCGGTGCGCAACTTACACCTGAATTAAGGAGTTAGGTTAATCCTGGATTAGCACTAATCCAGACTGTCAACCACATCGGTGGGACTAACTCTGAGCACAACATCACTATTCCTCGACTTAATCCCATCAACCGCATCGGCAGACCAACACACCCCTTCACTCCCGCTCTCATGTCCAACAACTTCAACACCCTTTTTGGCGATTCCGATTTCCTCACCATCAGAAACCACTTCGAGCGTGGCCAACGTTTGACCCAGCAACTCATTAATGAGGATCTGCATGATCTTGACTCTAGCGATTCTGAGGACAATGAACAGCCACAACGTAAACATCGCCGGCCAAACAAGGATCGAAGCCACATTGAACACCATGAAAAACTGATGACCGATTATTTTAATGAAAACCCAACCTATGACTCAGCCGAATTTGCCAAACGATTTCGAATGGAGAGGCCCCTTTTCCTCCGGATCCTCCAGGATGTCACCAACCAATGTCCCTACTTTGTACAGAAGCCAGTAAGTCCTTTTTTAATCACTAGTGATCAAATTGAGTTAATAACTTTTCATTTTCAGGACTGTACTGGAAGACTGGGATTGAGCCCTCACCAAAAGCTCACCGCTGCTTTACGACAATTGGCGTATGGAGTACCTCTCGACGCTACGGATGAATATTGTCGATTGGGTGAGACAACTGCCCGACAAAATTTAGAAAACTTCTGCCATGCTATTGAGGCGATTTACGGACCAACCTATCTGCGACTCCCAAATCAAGACGACCTTAAACGGATACTTGAAGAGAACGCTGCCAGAGGGTTTCCAGGCTGCATCGGAAGTATTGATTGTATGCATTGGGCCTGGAAAAATTGTCCCACTGCATTGAGTGGGCAGTTTGAAGGAAAAGAAAAAAAGCCGACACTAGTTCTCGAGGCAACAGCATCAAAGGATACGTGGATATGGCACGCCTTTTTTGGAACTTCTGGATGTTTAAACGACAAGAATGTACTAGATCGATCACCCTTATTCCAACCGATCATTGCTGGTACTGGCTGGGGGGTTGAGTTCAAACTTCAAGGCCATCGGTACAAATATCCCTACTATCTGGCCGATGGGATCTACTACGAATGGTCGACACTTATTCAATCCAAGGGGCTCGCTAAACAAGATGACCCAACAAAATATTTCACAAAGAGGCAAGAATCTTTTCAGAAAGACATCGAAAGAACATTTGGAATATTACAAGGACAGTTTCAGATTATCACCAAACCGGCGCTGAACTGGTACCCTGAGGATATGCATTCCATAATGAGGACTTGCATAATCCTTCATAACATGATAGTCGAGTACCGATCCGAACGACGGCAGTACCCTCCCCTGCCGGTTACTACAAAGCTAATCCCCCCGAGATCTGAGCCGTATAGCCTTCGCGATCAACACATACGCGATATCGAGATGCGATCAATCCAGACTCATCGAAACCTCACAAACGACCTCATCAAGCACCTGTGGGAGAAGTCTGGCAACCGAAAGTCTGTGCTTGATGATCCGCTTGAGGACTCCGATTAGAATATCCAGTTGTGATCTCTTTGATTTCTTTCGTTTTCTTGTCTCTCACTCGCTTGCTCTATTTTTTTTCACTGAATCGATCTGTTCTGTTTTAACTTGTCTCTCACTCGATCAATCTATTTTTTAAATTTTTGTTCACTCAATCGATCTTTTTTGTTAACTTGTCTCTCAGTCGCTCGTTTTCTTCACTCAGTCTTTTCATTTCCTCAAACCAACCAATGTTTGTTATAAAGTTTGACAGTTGATAGTTTTTACCAAGAGAAAGACAACAAAAGGAACTAAACGTAATGAGAAGCTAGAGAGATGAATATAGTCAGAGCAATAAATATAGTGAGTTGAACATAGAGCAACAAACATAGTGAGAACCCAGAGCGACATGCTCAAATCAAGCAAAAAATGAAGGCTAGACGGACTGGCTAAAATCATCAAGATCGAGGATCTGAGTGTGAGTGGGAAGATCATCATCCTGATCATCCTCATCTTCATCAATGTCTTCATATTCTTTCTCGCTTTCGTTAGTCTCGTCCCTCATTGGCTCGGAATCGCTTGTATGAAATCGGGAGGAAGGTTCGGAAGAGTGGTCTGTCACGGATTTTGAAGACTCGCCTTGCACACGAGAGCTGGGTGGTTTGCTGTATTTCTTGTAGATCTCTTCCTTTTGCTTCATTAAGAATCGACGAGATATGTCGTCTGGGCAGGAGTTAGGATTTTGGAACATCAGATTGAAGTCGATCTTCTTGTTTTCGGTCGCGACAAGATCTTCTTGAATATCGTTTGATCGCTTCGCTTCAACACTTCTTTTGAGCGCCTCTTTGTGCGAGACTTCCCAGTACTTCATTCTTCTTCTTTTGTATTCCTCTTCGTTAATCTTGCGCTTTGAGCTATGGGCACCAAGCGGTCGTTCCCAGTTCTTCGATGTCGGTGTTTCAGCGTTGGTAGAAGATGGTTGTGAGGAGTCGTTTGCAGGTTGAGAAAGAAATTGAGACTCGCTAGCTATTTGAGAAGATGTCCCGGGCTTCGCTCTTCCAGCCAAATTCTGAAACTTTGGGACATGTTTGAGGAGATTCCAAGAGCGTTCGGACATGAATTGTTTGCCGACCTGCTCATAATATAGCTGCCTGGCATTGATGAGCCAATCTTCAGGTGTTGAACCGGACGCCGGATTGTTCTTCAGGCGATCGTATATGGCTCCGAATTTGAGAACAGATTTCTGGAGAGCCTTCCACCTTTATCAACAGACCAAAATGAGTCCAAAAAGACACTCTGTAATCTGATAGAACATAAAACTTATGTACCTTGTTGATAAACCACTATCGTCTTGCCGAGGCCCGCTAGTAGACATATTGAAGTCCTCAACCACACGTTCCCAGAAAACATCCTTGCTCTGATTGTTCGATGTGATGGCGTCTTCTGATATAACCGTCCAGCTCTTTGCAAGCTGCTCGTCCTCCTCAGGTGAGAAGTTTGGGGCTCGCTTGGGTTTCTCTGAGGGTGGTATTTCAGGGATCACCGGATTGCTGTTTGAATTGGAATGATTGCTATTGTTGGCATTTGAGTTGGGAGGGTTGCTGTTTGAGTTCGGAGGGTTGCTGTTTGAGTTGGGAGGGTTGCTGTTTGAGTTCGGTGGGTTGCTATTGTTGGCATTTGAGTTGGGTGTGTTGTTGTTTGGGGTGGTTGGGTGATTTGGAATGATGTTTAGTTGTTTTTTTGATTTTCTTGGTGGCATCTTGAGGATAAATGAAGGAGGTGTGTGTTGTTCAGTATTCGGGAGGGTGATGAGAGGTGTGTACAAGAGATAGTCTCGCTTAATCCAAGGATGTTCCAAGCGACTTTGATCCAAGGATTAGTGGGTAGTAGATTTGTTCCCCGCTAGTTCTAAAACTGTTCCAGGAGCTACTTAGCCCAAGTTAACTCGGGCCGATGTGGTTGAAGAGTAGGGTTAAGTACCCTAATCCGGACTTAAGTTGCGCACCGATGCGGGTGCTCTTATAGGATGCGAAACTGGCGAAGGCACACATCATGAGTGTGATCGGGTGAAGTGCAACTCCGGATTGGGCCCCGAGAGCGACCCTCGACAGCATCCTTGTGAGTCGACAATACAATCCTCATTTTTTGTCTGTGTAGCCCGATGAAAGCAGCAGGGAAATATTGAGCTTGCCCCCGAATTAAAAAAAAAAAAATCTCTTGTTGTGGTCCATATGTGGACTGATGAATCCACCATCAAGTTTCCTCAATGGTCTTTCAGAATTGCAGCCCGCCCAACTATTCTGGGCCAGGAAAAACAGTGACTAACATAGTGTCGATGCACGTGGACTATACGACCGAAACAATCGGTAAATCACTCATTGTCCAGTCTGATCGATCATACCCATTTTTATGCAAGTATGTGAGTCGCTCAGCTAAGTATAGATATTTGCATCAATCCGTCTTTCCAGCCATCCAAGCGGATGAGCCCGGCCATCCTCGGCTCAGCTTCTATGAATGCTCGTGGCGAGGAAACGTGTTCAGGCCTTGTCAGTCTGAGTCCACCTCTTGGACTTGGAATATCTTGTATTCAAGACCGAATTGACAGACTCCTTTTTTTTCCCCATCAGACTGTCAGGATTGCACTCGCATAGATTGACAGGATTAATCGACCAAGCGAAAGATGACGATCGCATGCAATATCTGTTAAGTATGTCGTGTCGATCAGAAGCGGTCATGGTTATTTATGGATATCGAAGCTAGCTCTCAAGAAGATAAAAATTTCCTACTCTCTTTCTGGACAGGAAATGAAGAAACAAAAAACGGTAATCATTCTATCATATCTGATCTGTTTGCCTTTAGCTGCAGGTACCAGTGGTTCCTACTTATAATCATGAGTCTCTTGTTCAACACCATATATTGTATTAATTTCTTGTCCTGAATAAAAAAATGTAGTGTGACTTGTCGAGGTAGATTTTTCTGTTTGGGTGCAATTTGGCGTCTACTACTAGTCCTGCGCACTATGAATATAAAATTAAATAAAACTTGATATAAAATTTCCGTATCTAAATATTCCGAAAACTTGGAGAAGGATGAATGATTGGAAGGGGGTGAGTTGGAGCGGTGTCCGGACTAGAGTTCGCAGGATGTCAGTTGATCATCAGCTCACGGTGTCTCGGATCTCGGATGTGATCAAACTCTCCAAGCTCACGCGCTGACCCGGTGACCCGTCGGATCATTGCTCCTCCCGGATGCGAGCCTTATAGCCGGGTCGCTCTGACAAGGGCTGCGTGAGAAATTTGGCACAAAGTTTTCCTTTAACATAACCATCCAATCCCTTCAAAACCATCGTGGCTCGAGTTCAACAGAACCACGAAAATGTCCAACCTACTGGATTGTCCGCTCAAGCTCACCACATCGGTAAGCATGTTTTTACCTCTTTACATGGGATTGAAACAAGAAGAAGAAACAAGACACTGACATCTTTTTTTCCTTTGATATCTAACAGACCGATCTCGCCCAAGGATTATTGAACTACATCCAATCATACCATGAAGACCATGTCGCTCATCCCGAGGCTCTCAAGCCAGATCTCGAACTCATCAAGTCCTGTAGGACGCCGATCGAAGACAAACTGACTGTCAACCAATCTAGCCTCAACTCACTTATTCGGTAATAATTTGGCCTCGATGATCGATCTGTCCTTCCATCTCATTGATCTTGAATCTCTCGTGTTCGAAATCTAGATACCATGCACATCTGGCTTACATCCTTCCCAAATTCCCTGATGATGTAAGCGAACCAATTTCCCTATATTTTGTTCCAATCATTTTTGGTTGACGGTTGAGCCATTGAAATAGGTCGGAGTCGAGTTTTCTTATTCAGCAATCTTCTCCACCTCTACCACCGCCGGCTCGATCTTACCGGGGGAACTCCCGAGCTGTTTGCCCATCAAACTCTCAAACTTGAAGTACGAACGTGCCTGCATCTTGTTCAACATCGCCGCAATAACGATGTCCTTAGGAACGAGCGTGCCACGCACAAATACTGATCAACTTAAACGCGCCATCGGGTTTTTTCAGGTGACTTGAAATCTCTACATCTCCCCCGTGTCTGAACCGGTTCCATATTCACGTAATATTGGTTTGTTTCTCGCGGAATCAGCAAGCTGCTGGCTGCTTTCGTCTGTTGAAAGACGAAGTCGTTCAAACTATCGAGCTCCCACCAGGCTCGCCCAATCCACCCTCACCGGATCTCTCGAACTCATGTCTATCAGCTCTGGAACATCTTTCTTTATCTCAGGCCCAAGAATCGGTTTGGCAACAAGCCGTCAAAGGTACCTATTTTTTTTTTCTCTCCTTTTACTTTTCTTCCTCCCAAGCAATTCGTATGTTTGTTTGGTTTGGGTTTTTGACGCGTACTGATTTGAAATCGGAAAAGATCAGAAATCTAATGGTACCATCAGTAGGATTGCGCAGGAAACTTCTCGGCTTTATGATCTCACCTTGAATCTTATGAAAGATGTACAGAAACTCGATATTCATTGGATCGGATTTGCTTTCCCCGACGTAAGTTTCACATATTCCTCAAGTTTACAAACCCTGGAGATCAATTTTACGCAAATTTCTTTTTCTTTGAATACAGGATTGGATCAGCTTTGCCCACTTGAAATCGGCCCATTTTTTAGCAGTTGCCCAATTTCGGAAAGGACTGGATGATTCAGCTGCTAGAGAGTTGAGTCTGCTTTTCACGGAAAATAAATTGAACCGATCAAAAAAAAAATGAAATTGACAGTCCGGGCATAACCAACAAATGTGATTGAATGAATAGATATGGAATTGAAGTAGGACGATTGGAGTATGCATGCTCAACGTTAAAAACGGCGATCTCAGCAGCGAAAAGCTGTTCGACTGAAACGACCAAGACGGTTCTTCAAGAGGCCAAGAATGTGTTTGTCAAGCTCCAGAAGTCGCTCGAGCTGGCCAGACGAGACAACGATTTGATCTACCTCAAACAGGTACCGTCAGACGCCGAGCTGCCGGTCATCAAGCCCGTCTCACTCGTCAAGCCCAGCCTACCGCAACCCGTCAGCGACCCGTCTGAGTTCTTGACTGAGGATCAGTTTGGCAGGAGACTCTTTGAGCAGGTCGTGCCCTATCAGGTCTATCGCATCATCGGCGTCTACGAAGATAGGAAGAAAGATCACCTCAAATCTGCTATTCAAGACCAAGCCGATAGCTTGGATGCAGAAATGGTGGATGCGCTGAGATCGATGAACTTGCCAGGATCCTTAGAAGCTGTAAGTTCGCGTAATTTGTATATCTGCTCTTCATTTGACCAACCCGAATTCGTGCTAACATTGTTTTTTGCTTTGTTGAAATGCAGTTGGAGAGGCCAATCAACTTGCCACCTTCGTTACTTCGTAGTTCGGAAGAACTGAGACAACAAAACGCTCCACAAATGTTGATCTCAATGTTATCGAGTGTAGAACAAGCATCACAAGTGAACTGGGATGCATTGGCACAGGTAAGTCGACATCTCAACCTGATGGGAAAGGGGGGGGGGGATTGATGTCCCTGATTGTGTTTCTTATCTCTGACTTAAGATCGCGACGATGTTGGCCGAAGAGAAAAGCGAAGACCAACAGTATCGGACTCGATTCGGCACCCAGTTATGGCAGAGACCCTCCTCGCAAATCGCTAATCGTCCCCTGCGCCAACAGGAGTCTCAATTGCTCCAAACCTTTGAACCGGCCGAACAGAGCGATCGCTCGGTTAAAGAAAGATACGATAATTGGCGCAAGGCGATCGAGTTATTGTGTCAAGATGAGGTTGGTTTTTCGTTTCCTGGTTTTGTCTGCGGCTGCTGTCTCGCCTTAAGAATAAACACTGACTGTTATTTTGTTAATCGCGGGGTTTTTTTTTTCAAAGGATACCATTCGGAAGGCAATTCCACCCTTGAACATGACTGACCGACGGCCACAAGACCTAAGTCTCCCGCCGACGGGCCAGAGCGAGTTATCGAGTCCGCGACAACTACGTAGATTACTGGATGACTTGGAAGATCTTCGCGGTTCACGAAAGCGACTTATTGGATCTGCGCTCCATTTCGCTAGTCACGACTCGATCGATCGCGCGTTGATCGAGAACTTCGATCGGAATCTCCATCGCAAATCTCTCTCTTCTAACAACGCGCCGTCTTCCTCGACTATCGAGATCGCGGATGACGAACAAATCGAATTGTTTATCGAGAAGGAACTCGAAAAATACTCGAAATTCTCGGGCCAATTGGACGCGAATCGGCTCGCTCAAAACGACTTGATCCAGCAAATCAGGGTCAGTTCTGATCATTTCATATATTCATTAGTCATGTTTGCCGTATATATATATATATATATATCTATATAACGTGTGGCTAATTTTGGATTCATTGGAACGGCGTAGAGCGTCAATCAAGAGTTTCTACGATCCAGGACGGACGATCCAGTGACCAAGGCCAGAGAAAATGTGTTCCAAGAACTCGATTCGGCGTACCATGAGTTTCATTCGATCATCAATAATCTGCAAGAAGGTCTTCAATTCCATTCTCAATGTGAGCCTTTCCCTTTCCCTTTTCACTCCTCATTTTTTTCTAGTCACTCAGCCAAGTAGCTAACATATTATGTATGACTTGGGGCACAAATACCAGTCAATAAGTATGCGAACATTCTGAAAAACGAGGTGGACAGTTACCTCCACGATCGACGCAGACAAGCTGTTGCACTTGAGCAACAGCTCAACAATCTGCAGCTCAACGCTCTCACTAAGCCGGCCCCGTCGAGCGACGACAGTCGGAGTCAGAAAGCCAACGGGAAGAAGAAGATGGATGATGCGGATGGGGATGTGGTGATGGAAGATCCACAGCCACCACTCGATCGGGTCCCCGTAGCGTCTCCTTCTTCCTCTTCTGCTGTTGGCCAGCGTCCTTCTAATAGTCGTCGGAAGAAACAAGCCGCCCCACCAGGCGCTTATGATCGTTAGTACCTGTTACCCCTTCTTGCACACAGATATGAGACTAACTCAAACTGCTTTATACCTTTGTTGTTGTTGTTGTTGTTGTTTTGATATGTACTCAGCCAAGATTCACGGTCCTCCAGTCTTTTCTGATTAACTCTTTCTTTTTTTATTCATTTTTCCTCATTGTTTCATCCAGAAGCTTTCTTCTCTCTTTCTTCTCTATGTATGTTTGTATACCTTTTGCGTCCAATGAGTATTCTTTCTTTCTTTCCAAACAAACAAACAAAAAATCAAAGTAAATAACATGATGATGAAGTAAACTTGCTGTATATATTTTAATCTTATGATGATGATGATGATGCTGTTGATTTGTATGTACCAGATCTTGTTTGTAATCTATAGGAATGTGTGATTATTTCTCTGAGTGTGTGTGTGTTTTTGTACATACCCCCGGGGATGATCGGCAGTTTGAGTTTTGGCTGATGCATATTCAAAAGGCGCGACGAAGAGATGCTGATAATTGCCCCCTTGCCCCCTCCCCCCTTCGACAACCACTGACACATATCCTTGAGAGAAAGACTGAAGAGCACATAACCATCAAGAGACTTAAAACATGCCTGCCACTCCTGGTTCAGCATCCAAACAACGAACGACGAAGAGCGGACTGGACTCATTCGCAAGGGAAGAACTCATGGCCAGCCTATCACTAACCACTAACAACCCAGAAGGAGTACAACCACCACCACAAGCAACCACATCCCCAGGACGGACCAGCAAACTATCACTCAGCCAACTCCCATACGAAATTAAACAGTGGATCGTTTATTGGCTCAACCTGCTCGAGGAACTCGAAGAACCATTCGACTCGGACGATAGCGATGTAGAGGAAGTCGACGACGACGAATTCACCGACAAACCCACCTCTAGAAAATCCCCTCAGAAAATACTCACTCGCTCCCAGGCCGATAATCATCCTCCTCCTCCAGTATTATCCTCTCCTCCTCCCCCGGAATCTGCCCTCAAATCTTCTGCTACTCGGCTTAATTCTATCCTCGCCCTCTCGCTCGTCGATCGAACGTTCTATGAAATCTGTAGACCTTTTATTTGGCAGGTACACATCTCACATTGATCTATCAGCCCTCCTTTTATATATATATATATATATATATATAAAAGAAAAGAAAAGGTATTGATTGATCTTTTGGAATGATAAATTATAACAATGTAGACGATAGATTTGGAAGATTATGATTTGAGCAAGTTGCGAGAATTACGGACGGAATTCTTACCACGACATGCGGAATGTGTGCGACGGATATGGTGGCGGGTGTCGCTTACGGAGCTAGACACGTACGAGCCGGAGGGGTGGATGAGTGCGAGCGAGTCGGAGGAGGGGAGTGGACGGAGGACGGAGTGGAGTGAGGCGGGACGGTCGACGGAGCTGCTGGGGATCCTGCAGATGTGCACGAAGACGACAAGCTTGGACGTCGATCTGCGGCCGGCAGAGCTGGATGAGCACCAAGAATTCATCGTCTTGCCCCGGGAGCCGACGGCCAAGTTCCTCGCGCCGATCGCCCAGATGAGCCAGCTCACCTCGATCGCCCTCACCGCACCGGCAAACGGACTCCCGTTCAGCGAGGCCTTCCTCGTCCGTCTGATCAGAGACATGGCCGGTCTCCAGAGCTTCACCTGTTGCTCGATCGACGCCCAGGCACCCGACTTCGAACACTCCCAGTCGATCACCACCTGTGAATCCCCACTGGCACTCCATCTCTCCAAGCTCGGCTCACTGAAAGAAATCGACTTGGACCAGGCGGACTGTTTCGATTTGAGCTGGAGCACGATCGAGTGGGCCGGCAGCCTGGAAAACCTGGCCTTGGACGACTGTTGTCGCGCCTCGCTCAACGCTATTCATGCCTTCTCGAGCAAGTTCTCCCGGACGCTCTTCAGTCTCGAACTAAGTGATGTACCGTTTGACGAGGAAGTGTTTGAAGGCGGGCCGCCGACACGGACGATTGCCGAGCTAGAGACGGGGCTATACAAGTTCAGTCTTCCCGAGCTGACGACGCTCTCGATTTCCAACGAGCTTCCGATCGGCTTCCTGGAAACGTTTGAGGAGTGCAAGAAGATCAAGCTGATCGAGCTGGCCATCAACCCCTCGATCTCCGCCTCGGACATCGAGCGGCTCGTCAACCCCGACTCGTGGCCCCAGCTCGAGAAGGTCATCATCGCTACCGCCGACGCCGAGCTCTCCGACGGACAGATCGAGGCCCTCGAACTCTTCTTCCTTAGTAAAGGCGTCCAGCTCGAAATCGACTCCGATTCTGATGACGAGAACGACGACGATGACGATGATGATGATGACGATGATGATGACGAACAGATCGGTTACGCATTCGAGGATGAGATCGAAGATATGCAGAATGAATGGATGGAGGATGATGATGACGAGTTTTGATTTTCCTTTCTTTTGGCATACATCCTCTCTCTCTCTTATATGGTTATTGTTATATACTTGGATATTCATCTTTTTGGAAGTCTTGTCTCCTTGTTTTTTTTTTTTTTTTGTCTTTGACAGTTTTGATATTGGTGATTTCTTCCTCTCCTCCTTTCATCCATTTTTTTTTTCTTTTCCTTTCTTGTTCTCTCTTCGTCCAAACACAAAAAGAGACAGAAAACATAGATTATTTATACATAATACATTGACTGGATTTCTTCGAACTGAAAAAAAAAAAAAAAAAAAGATGAGGAAATGAAGAGAAGGAAAATAATGATATGGTTTGGTGTATTGGGAACCTAGGCAGTTGTCGTAACACATAGGACTCTGAATACAGACTTCCTTATTCTGAAACAAGAAAAGGTAAATTCTGGGAGGAGGGGTGAAGATGAAGAAGATGTGAGTCTGAATCACGATTCACTACCATTCAAAAAAAAAAAAATGAACTGGCCCTCTTTACATTATAGTGTGTTTGGGTTTGGTTCTCTTGGTCATGATCAAGATATTCAAACATGTCAATAAGGTGGGATACATGATAATGTCATGATATATACTTGATCAGTAATACATGGATGAATGTTTTTTTTTTTTTTTGGAAAAAGGTGGTGTGGAAGCCCATTCTGGATAATGCGGGTTGATTCTATAAGGTCCTTGGAAGTTCACCATCCATTCAAGTGGTTTTGGTTTTGGAGTTGTGTTGCCCCTCCATGAAGGGTTTGTGTGTGATTATGGGCCAGTTCATGTCTGTCTTTGGGCTTAATCTTGTGAAAATGCAGTGATGAATGGGCTAGAAATCGCATTGGATAGTCACATTTTGGTACTGTCTTAATAGCAGTTTTATGGTCAAGTGAAATAAAATGGACAACATCTTTCGAGGGGAGCTTGCAGGAAAGATCTACTCCTCACAATAAGTTCAAGATTTTTTTTTTGTTCTTGAGACCTATAAATCAATTATGTCAAGATCAGAAGAAATGTTCTTCAAATGAAATTATCTGCAAACCAGATCTTAATGAAATCTTTTTGATTTGAGGTGAGTTTTGAAGGACAAGAGTCAAACAATGAGTTCCAATCCGCCCGAAATTGTTGATTGACTGAGCGGATGATCTTGATGGCCTGTATGAGCTTGAAATCCAGCCCATGATCGGCAAACTTCAACTTGTCTTCCTCCTGGCCATCAAGAATCTTGATCACACTAGATCCATTGTTCTTCCACCGGTGATCTTCATGGCTCACAAGACGTGCCCGAATTTGTTTGTATTTATTACACAGTAAGTCAAGTTGTTGAGTGTATATCTCTTGGCCAAATGTTTCGATTAGCCAGGCCCGACTCGCCGACTCATGCCACGGAATCCCCTCGTTTCTCGACATCCCTGCAATCAACTTTTGCAGCTTTTCCATAGAGAAAAGCACTTCATCGTCCGTCCAATCGTCTAATTTCTTTGGCTGTCCCAGGCCAAGACATTTGATCCAATGGTGCACAGTCCAGACGTCCACTCCCCGGGCTATCTCTGAAGCTCGCAAGTTCTCGGAAAGATCCTGAGACAATTCGATCTTCAGTTGATAAAGCCTTTCGGAGATCGGGGTCTTCAATCTCCTGGATGATTCATGATCTCCCATCCATGATCTTAAAAATGGTAGCAGAGTTTGGCCAGTATTGGCCACTTCATCCTCCAGAATTCTGGAAAAAATCGGCAAGAATAGATCCGAGTAATAAACAATATTCGGGAATTCTCGGGCCAGTTGTAAGCGGACCTCGTAGAATTTCAAGCTGGTCCTTCGTTCGTTCTGCAGCCCATCCAGCAGGGCATTTCTGATCAACATCCAATTCTCAACGATTGTCTTCTGGGTGATCTGGGTTGTGACTGTTACCAGTCGGCGTTGTACTTCCCACTTGTTGTCCAGTCTGGAGGACAGGGATGCGCGGATTCTGAGGAATGAGGCGGGATGAAAAGTCCAAAGAAACTTCAAAGATTGGTACGCTTCGTCGGTTATTCGAGGAACGGGATGGTGGGCTTGGGGATTCGTGGGTTGCAAGTAAGGTTCCAGTATTTCAAGCGCCTTTTGGAATGTCCAGGACTCGGCTGCTTCAGATTGAGAGAGCTTTTCTTTCTCTGCCATCTTCTTGACGCTTTGGATGCTTTCCTTGAGCAAGCCAGAAATCTCTCCATCATGGACAGCGTTGCCCCATTTCGGCTTGACAACTGTTGGATAGACTTCGTCCTCGCTCTCTCCTCTAGGTTTAAACGCAGCCTGTATTCTTTTCTTGAAATCATTCTCCATGTCCAGTTCTTGCTTTTCAGCAGCTTTTATCATAGATTTGAAGCAATTGGTGGTTTGAGGATCCTCTTGTAAGCTCTCTTTTTGAGCCTCAGCTCTTTTGCTGGTATTCACGTTAATCCTGTTCTTGAAATTTTCTTCTTGGTGCGTCTCTTTGAGAATACTGCCAGTGATTTCCGCGTGAACGTCTTTTATTGTTTCGGAAGACTTAAGGGCACTTATGGATTGATACACACTATTACTGAATGTTTAATAAAGAAGTTACATTTTTGTTTTGAGAGGAAAAAAAATGAATTAGCACCTCCTCTATATTGTTTTGTAGCAAAAACACTAATGGAGTATTTATTTACATACTCCTGCTGATGACCACTTTCTTTTTCCTTGTTTTTGGTTTTCTTGTTCTTTCTTCTCTTCTTTCCGTTGTTTGTCTTGGCAGACCTTCTGGAACCACCAAAAAATACACTGTTTCATGAGTACCTTGAACAAAACAAAACCCCTGAAAGTTGAGAGAAGAAAATTCTCACTCACTCTTGATCTGCTTGATGTACATCTTTGCCTTCCAACTCAAAGCTACCTTCCTTGAGCTGTTCTATATTCGTGGTAGATTCAATTTCTTCTGGTTTGTCAGGAATCAGATCTGATATCTTTCCACAAATCAAGCATTCATCTGTTTCATTTAAAACATCATGTCTTTCAGCTGTTCCTTGCTTTCCAAAATTGGATGCTATTTTTGAATCGATTTTTTGGGAAATCAAAGACGGTTTGAGCAAGGTGTTGGTCGAAAGTGAACAAGCAGTTCCGTCCAGTAGAGCAAAAAGTAATGATAAGCACACAAACGATCCGATATTGCGAATGAACATTTCTGTCGTCACTTATGGAACGTAAATTCAATCCAAGAAGGAGTTATACAAGTGTGTGGCCCAAATCAGACCGTTGTCATTTGTTGTAAAGTACCCATGAGAGCCTTTCAATGTCACATCGCTCAAAAACTGATTTCGGTCAAAACATGCAGACACCAGAGTCGCGAAGAGCGCGTTTGATGAAGCACTTGACCAAAGACTTGACGCGTAGGAGCGGGGTCAAAACACCAAATAGTATCATTGTAACGGGAAACAGTTTGATAAACACAGCCGATCGCCCCTTCAGAGATACTTGCAAGGTTTTGTGTATGCAAGTGTAAAGTTGGCCCTCGCTTGTCTGCACACAGGTTTATTTTCAACCGATTTACAATATCTGGCTATCGGATGCAAGAGTACAAATTGCTGCAAGTAATAACATTGCGGGTTACGCTTGACGGGATTGAGATTCCAGATGGTTACAGAGATTCGGGAAAAAGCCAAAACATCGCGCCCATGAGATTGATAGGGGTACTCAAATAATGAATCTGAATGCTCACACAAAAGTCCCTCCCCCCAGGTTTATGATCAGATTTTCACCATCAGTAGACTAGCTTTTACCATTGAAATGACCATCTATCATTTCACCATGCAATTTCTCTCATCGGCCTTGCACTTCTTGAAACTTGAAAAAAAAATTGGAAAAGGTTTCTTGGAGTGAACGCGATGGAACTGCAAGAGAGGGGACAACCCCCCGCAAAGACTCTCTCTCTTTTTCTCGCCCTCTGAACAGCCGCTTCGTTGCAGGTTGCACTAGGGCTGGGTGTCGCCTTCTGCCACTTCGGCTCGACAGCGCACTCCCCAACCCGTTCCGGATAAGCCACAAAAGGCAAACCAAGTTCGCAGCGCAAAAAGAAGATAAGATATAAAATTTCATTTTTACAAGTGGGATAATAATACAAGATTGTGACTTTGTATAAAAAAAAATACAAGGTATGTTATATAATTCGGAGAGAAATGGTTTTTAAGGAAAGAAGAAGAACTAATTCAAGTCAAGAGAGACCCATTCAGAGTCGAGATCATCGTTGTGTTTTCGTGTTTTTAACTTTGTTATATTCTGATCTCATTCATCAGGTATTTCTTTCTTCAATTTCTTATTGTTTTTATCTGATGATGAATCATGTTTACTTATCATTACTTTTTGTTAAAGATTATTACTTCTATTAAGTTTTATAATATTATTTCTATAAAGTATTGATTCAACCATTTTTACATGGTAGCGAGAGTCAATACTTGATAGTTATAAAACTTAAAGTAAGAATAATCAGTGAATCTAGGTCAAGCGATTGGAATGTCGACTTATCAGGAGAAAACCTCGATGAACGATTCATCTAGTGGCGATGAACATCAAGAGAAGGCAAAACTACTCAAACTTAATCGGGATAACTGGACTGAATGGAAACAGTTTTTTGTCGATCTTTTAACCGGACGAGGTCATGAAGAAATTTTCGATCCAGTCTGGATTGAAGCTCACAAAAAAGAAAAAATATTCAGAAAAAAATCTGCGCTTGCTTTTACTCTTCTTCGACAATGTCTTTCTTCCGATCTCAAACCGATTGCCGCCGCTGCGAACACTTTCACAGATGCGATGAAGGATTTAGCTGATACATGCGGCGAAACATCTCTCATTAAACTTGGAGATAAATTATATGCATTGGTTTGCTGTGATTATACTCCAGGCACATCAATCGGTGCTCATGTTTCAAAGTTTCAAAATCTTTATAATTCAGTCAAGTCGTCGTTTACGGTTACCACTACGACTATGTACGTCGATACACAAATGGCCGGCATTTTCTTTCTCAAAAGCTTTCGGCATGACGATACTCTTGCGGCTCTTGTTCAAAATCTGTACGATGTTTCTCCTTTCACTTTTGAAAAACTCGCCGCTCGTATGAATATTGAAGACACCCGTGGCGACAGACCATCTGGATCTTTGAATGCTGTTACTCAATCAACTTTCATTCGACCGAACAAAGAAAAGTTCAAGGCCTTACCTCCACCTTCTCAACGATTCAGAAATGTTGCTCCAACTAAAAATCGTCCATCCGGTTCAAATTATCAATCCGGATCGAGCGACAAGAAGAAAAACGAAATTCAAAAATTGATTTATGATCAGATTGAATCATTGAAGAAACTTCAATCTCAAGACCTTAACGCGATTGAATCTTCTGGAAATGAAAATGACGATCATGCTGAGGCAATTGATGAAGGAAACGATTCAGATGACTGGGGTTTCTTTGTTAACGAGGACATCGAGTCAAACAATATCTCAGATGATTCCGATACTTTGGTTAACGTCGATATCAATCAATCAATCGATGCTAGAACGACTAATGACAATCATCATAACCCTGATGACTCAGGTTTCTTTGTCAATGAAGATAATAATTTTCATATTGGCGACAACTCTCCTGAAGTTCGTTTGGTTCTTGATACCGGAGCATCAAAATCAACAGTCTCAGATCGTCGACTTCTATCTGACATGAAGCCAATCGAGAAAAAAATGAGAACGTATTCCGGTTCGATTGAAATTACTCATATTGGATCGATGAAATTTGGAAAATACTTTATTTATCCAGTTTATCTAGCTCCTGCCGGTAAATGTAATCTCATTTCTGTATCCCAATTGGAAGATCACGGTTTTAGAATTTTTCACAAGAACAAACTCATCACTGTCTGCATGGGATCGTCGATTATCGAAAAATTTCCTCGATCTGGCGATTTATACGTTTCCTCTAGTTCTCATCATTTCACCGCCAATTCGCTTTTTTCTATCTGTGAAAAACAATCATTAAAAGACTGGCACGTCATACTCGGTCACCCATCTGATGTTTACGTCAAAAAATTCTTCGAACTAATGAAGATACCAAAAAACTCTCAAACTGGTTCTTCGACTGAATGTGAGGTATGTAGAATGGCTAAATTAAAGCGTTCCCCTCATTCGAATCCCCTTCCTTCCGCCTCATCTCCCTTCAAAATGATTCACATGGACGTTTTGCAGATTTCTCCGGTTTCTCGCGGCAGTTTCAAATATATTCTGGTGTTAATCGATGATTTCTCGCGATTTAACCGAATTTATCTGCTTCAAAAGAAGGATCAATCTGAATCTAGAATCATGTCCTACATCAATGAAATCAAGAATCAAATCGATGTCTATCCTGCCATCTTACATACTGATCGTGGTGGTGAGTTTGGTTCGAATATTCTCAAAAACTTCCTACTTGAACGAGGAATCTCTTTAGAACAAGGTCCAGCTAACTCACCTCAAACGAACGGTTTAGCTGAACGTTTCAATCGAACTCTTTTAGTCAAAATTCGATGCATGCTCGCTCAATGCACGGTTCCGCTCAATTATTGGGACGAAGCCGCAAAATTCGCTTCAACTCTCATCAATATGTTACCCTCTGTCTCTCTTGATTGGAAATCGCCGATGTCTATTCTTATCGATTGCGAATTGAAAATTGAACAATCTAGACACATACAAACGTTGATTCCTTTCGGTCTCAAAGTTTATGTTCATAATCAATCTCCTTCTTCGAAAGTCCTTCCCCCTTCAAAACCACTTCTATTCCTCGGCTATGAGCCCAAATCGGATGCTATGCGTTTTTTCGATCCCATATCTCGCAAAATCGTCATCAGTCGAGACTTCACCCCTTCCAAATTATCTTTTCCTTACGGTTCTTCAAAAGCGATGATAAAGTTAACTTCAACTTTGCCCACATCATTCATACCTGAGAAAGTTAATTCAAAAGAAGACTACGTATCGGTTCACATTCCAGAAGACAAATCTAGTCATGCCAATGAAGGAATTTTACCCTCACCTTCTGAAACTCCTCCAGTTCCGATTGAATCTTCTCCCCCATCTCTTCCTCCGATTCCTCCATCTCCAACCATCGATATGTCAACTCCTATTATTCGACCCTCTTTACCTCCGCCAACTAAACACTACACGTATACTTGGGGTAAAACGAATCAAAAAGCTTCAAAAGACATTAGCTCAAACATTGACCCGTCAAATATCATTGAAGGTTCGCGACGTATGAATCCCGGCTTACCTGATTTGAATGTTGTAATGAATGATGAATTTCCAGAACTCAATCTCAATCAATCAGTGTCCATCAATGAAGCTATGACGGATAATGAACATGAAGCTGAATGGAGCGATGCATTATCATCTGAATTTCACTCACTGCAAGTAAAGAACACTGGAATTTTAACTCCGCCTCCTTCTGACGATAAAATCATCGGCGGGATGTGGCTCTTAACTCGAAAGCTGAATGAATTCAATCAAGTTTCAAGACACAAGGCTCGCTGGGTTGTATTTGGAAATCATCAAGAACATATGCTTCACTACTTCGAAACATACTCATCTGTGGCTAGAAACGAATCACTCAAGATGATGCTCTCTCTTGCAGTGAATGAAGATCTCAATGTTTTTCAATTTGATGTCGAAACAGCATTTCTTTACGGTGATATTGACGCTTCAATTTACGTATCACAAGTTCTTGGTTTTGAAGATCCGGATCCAAAGAAGAAAGGCTGGGTTTGGAAACTTCAAAAATCGCTGTACGGAACGAAGCAAGCCCCTCGTATGTGGAAAGCTCACTTGGTTTCAACATTGAATTCAATCGGTTTCACGGCTTCTATCCTCGATGATGCACTTTTTCATAACTGGGACAATTCTATCTTGTTACACATGCATGTTGATGACGGACTGATTATTGGAAAATCGCGCCCAGCAATTCTTACATTTCTCAGTAATCTTCAAAAAACTTATTCTCTCAAAATCAAAGAACGTCCGACACAACATCTCGGTTATACTCTAGTCTGGAATGAAGACAAGTCTTTGTTTATTCATCAATCCGATTTTGCCTCGAAAATACTTGATGAATTCGGTATGAATGATTCTAATCCGGTAAAAGCTCCTTCCCCGTTGAATTTTCATCATCTTGTTGCATCAGATTCGCCACCAATTAATGAGAAAGTTATGCAAAAGGCTATCGGAATGTTGAATTATTTGGCTCTTCATACTCGTCCAGATATCGCTTTTACAGTAAATGTTTTGGCTCAATTCACTAACTCACCAACCCAAGCTCATTGGTCTCTGGTGAAGCATCTTCTAAGGTATCTTCGAGGCTCAAAGGACGTTGGGATTACTTACACTAAGGGTAGTAAATTGGATGCTCTTGTTGGCTGGGCTGATGCGGATTACGGTTCCTCACTAGTTACCAAACGATCAATGTCCGGTTACGTTATCTCTTTCTTTGGGAATCCGATTTCTTGGACGACTAAGAAGCAATCGGTGGTGGCTCAATCGACAACTGAAGCCGAATTCATTGCTATTAACAAGTGTGCTAAGCAACTTAGATGGATGTCAAATTTAATCACTTCTCTCAAGATTCAAATCGACATTCCGACAATTTTCAACGACAATTCCGGTGCCGTTATAATAAGTGAAGAACCTCAGTTAAATCCGAATACTAAGCATATTGAAATCCGTTTTCAATATATTCGTCAACTCATGATGCAAAAGGTTTTATATATCAAGCATATCAGTACCTTCGATATGATAGCGGATATATTAACGAAACCCTTTGGCAAGATTAAACTAGCTGGTGCTTTCAAACAATTACATTTGGAAAATGTGCGTGTTTAGGAGGAGTGTTGTGAAATCCAAACTCGCAAATTTTATGCATAATCGAATATGCATTCTCGCATATCTTCGTGACATTCAGATCCATTGCGTCATTCCTTCTCTTCTGCAAGCAACTGCATCCTTCGCCGATAACTTTCATCTTCCCTTCTTTATCAGTTGCTCACCACAAATCCAATCATCATCAATCAAAATCTTCCGAGGTCTCATTCAATCGCTGATCAATCAAGTTACAACACTCGACTCATCGACCGACCACTTCTAACATTCAGGAGGAGCTAGATCTAGCTTCTGGGCAGGTAGCGTGGTTTATGCTATTCTATTATTGATTGTTAATTGTAATTGACCGTTTCTCTTATTATTCTTTCAGGCTTTTTCGTTGTGATAATCCTCGTGTTAAAGAAGTCGACGTCGTTGTGTTTTCGTGTTTTTAACTTTGTTATATTCTGATCTCATTCATCAGGTATTTCTTTCTTCAATTTCTTATTGTTTTTATCTGATGATGAATCATGTTTACTTATCATTACTTTTTGTTAAAGATTATTACTTCTATTAAGTTTTATAATATTATTTCTATAAAGTATTGATTCAACCATTTTTACACATCATCTCGCTGGACCCATTCAGAGTTGAGTTCATCATTATCAGGAACTTGAGGAGCGGGAGCATTGGCATCAGGAACTCGAGCAGCGGGAGCATTGGCATCAGGAACTTGAGGAGCGGGAGCATTGGTATCAGGAGCTTGAGGAGCGGGAGATGATTGGTGAGGGGATTGGGCATTCGAATGAGGGACCGGAAGGGTGCCACGGTTTTTGGGAGGCACACCTTCATCGATCATCTGCAAGGTCCACAGGCGGGAGTGATCTACTTTAGCTGGAAGGGCGGAGTCCTTCGTGACCATTTGATTTAAAGTCATCATCTTTGCCTGGGTGTTGACGCAAACATTTCTCTGGCATTCGAGGCGAAGAATCTCTATAGGGCATCATCTCGAAACTTCTTCAGGAAATATGGGTTCTGGAAAAGTGATCCGAAAGGGCGAAGTAGGGGAAGATTTGATGGTATTATAAGCACTTCTTACCTCAAGCTTTGGTTTGGATGGATGGGGAAGGGAGGACGGAGGACGGAGGAGAGGGAAGGAAGACTTGTATGGTGTGTGACAAATAGCAGAGAAGGCAAAGAATTTGGCTTGTTTATATTGAACACCTGAGGCTGCGCCTCGCGTCTGCTTCTGTTTCGCGTTGTTGGAAGCTGCTCCCCTTGCTCACTCTCTAAGACTCTATTGCTACTGAAAGGGAAGGGATTCAAAAGGATCCTGGCTATACAGAAAAACTCTTGATAACACTAGACTGGAGTGGTATTCTCATTAGTTGTGTGAAATAATGGTTAAGGGTACCAGGAATGAGTGCTTGCCAAGGGAAGGAATTATTGATGGCTACAGCACTCGAATGACTCAGACATGACCAAAGTACAACATGTTCATACCAAACTATCTGAATGCTGCACACAAAAAACCCACCGGGGTTATCAAACTCACATGAGCAGCTCCCACCGTGAATTTCGTTCCCGCCTTACCAAAAGGATTTACTCCTTGGTATTTATTCTAGAAGCAAATCTACCAGTTGCCATGAATTGATCAAAAATTTAGGCTAGTAAGTAGGTACAGTTGAACAAAAAAAACTTATCAAAATGGAACTTGCAATAGGAAAAAAACTCAATGCTAAAAAAGTTGAGATTAGAATGAAGCAAACAGAGTTATGAGGTTTTAGTTACTAATGCAGATGGTATGACAAAAATTTGGATGCATGCTTGTAATTGGGAATGGCAGATCATGAGCTGGTTTGTGGTTATAAAAGTATGAATTCTGAGAATAGATCATGTATCTTTATATCTTTATGTTTTTGTACTTTCTACTTTTCCTTGCCCTTGAAACCCAGCCAGGAGAATTTTTGTTAAATGTGATTTTGTTGAAACCAGATTTTTATAAACTCCTTTTGATGTGGTTTAACTTTCAAAGGAAAAGATTTGAAGAATAATTCCCAATCTTTGCGGTACGTTTGGTTATATTGTCGTGTCATTTTGATAGTCTGCATCAACTTCACATCCAGGCCATGATCATAGATCATCACCTTATCCTGCGCCTGGTATTTTAAGATTTCAGAGACTGGTGCCTCTTGCTTCCAGTCGTTCCCTTTGCTGCCACTACCTCCGCTCATTTTTTGAAGTCGATTGCAGATATAGTTAAGATGTTGATAGTATTTTTCTTCTGTGAACATTCGGATCACGCATGCTCGATCAGGAGATTCATACCAAGGAATTATCTTGTAGTTGGGCGAATGGAGCAATGCCAGAATAATGTCGACTGAAGTACTGATGTCAAGGTCATTCAAATCCTCCAAGTTTTCCACTTGCCCCAATCCAAGACAATTGATCCAATGATACACATTCCAGGGATCGGCTCCATTCAACCTTTCTTCTTCTTCAAGAATTTCCGAAACATCCGATGACAGCTTAATGGTTGGTCTTGGCCCAATGTCCATTGGATCCCGGAATCTCCTGTTTGACTCAAGGTCGCTCATCCACGCTTTGAAATGAGGGGCCATTGGGTGCATTTGGGGGGCATCTAATACTTTAGGGAACTCTCGATCAAGCTGAAACATTTCTCCAAATGGTTCCATTATAGCAGGTGTAAACTTCACATCTTTCTGAGCTAGAGACCTGGAAATTATGTTCCAATTCTCAACAAGAGTCTTTTGCGTTATTTGATTTGTCAATGTTACAACTCTTCGTTGGAATTCAAATCTGCTCATCTTCATTTTCACTAACGCAGAGCAAATAAATCGGTAGATTTGAAAGTAAAGCTCTGCGTTCAAATCCCAAAACACTTGCAAAAAGATGTATGTTTCACTATCCATTGGTGAGATGGATATGTGATCTTGATGATTTGAAAGCTTTAGCTGTGTTTTGAAGATTTCCAATAGCTTATCGAAGAACAAACGATCCCTCTGTTTAATCTTATTGCCATTTTTTCCTGACAATTGCAAACTTTGGACGCTTTCCTCTAGGAAAACAGAAGCTTGAGATTTACTGTCAATGAAATGTCTCCATTGTGGCTTGATTACCCCCTCAAATATTTCACTCGTGTCTTTAGATTCTCTAGGCTGGAAGGAAGCTTTTATCCTGATACGGAAATCTTCTTCCATCGCTAATCCGCGCTCTGCTTCACTTTTTGTGACCGATTCAAACAAATTTTGAGTCACTCTGACATTATCTTCCGTTTTAATTCGCAACCCTCCTTCCATGAGTGAGTTCTTTGGCTGAAATTTTAGGTTAGGCTCCCACTCGATGTCGTTCTTTGAGTACTCGCTATTATGAACTTTTGGACTATCTCCAGTGGGAGATGTTTTGCTGAATGTGTGATCAATAGATTTTGATTTTGAGAAATATGAACCAAGTCAGTACGTGTAAGCCCATGCTGATGACACTGACCTTTCAAAGGCATAAGATCCAATGAGAAAAACATACTCTGACTGCCACCTGCTTGTGTGCCCCTTTTTTTTCTTCTTATTCTTTGGTTTTTTCTTCACTTTCCCGTGTTTAATATCCTCTTCAAGGCTAATGAAGACTGCGAGGTTTCAGCAGGCAGTCCAGAAAATGGAGGACTTCCACCTCAAACAGTTAAAATAGATTCTTACTCACCCTTCACCAATCTCAATAGCTTTCCTATCTTCCTCAGTAATGATGAATTTTTTGCCACTGCCTTGAGTACATGCCTGTTGTATATTGCTAGGATGTAAATTCAGCTTGGCTTCTTTGACACAAGGTCCTTCAATTCTTCCTTGATTTCCTGTTTTGTATATACTGTCTCCGTGAAGTCCCGGGGAAGCATGTGAAGCCAGCTCGTTGAACGCAATTGAACAGGTAGATGTATCAAGGAGAGCGAAAAGAGATAACTGGAACAACATGTCGAGGGCATAACCTAATAAATTTTCCATCCTGGATCAAAATGAATCCAAATAGCAAATGGTGCCGATGGACATCAAAGCAAAGCCAACTAGGAGCTGGTCAGGATGCTGCTGTGACATAGCAACCATCATAGGCCCTTCCAGCTTTCATCGCCCATGCAAAGCCTCGGTGAAAAGTGGGAGAACCCGTTTCATGAATTTTTAATTACGATCACCATGTATGTATACATACCAAAGAGCTTTCAGAATATGAAGAAACGTCTGATCAAGGCAAAGAAGGATCGATTTAGCGCAGCACATCAGGCGCTGACTTCAGCAAGTTTCTGATTCTGAAATGCCGTCCCGCAGCCAGCTTAACTGAGCCTCTCCGGATTTGGCTCCTCGGACTCCGGAGGGACTTGTGTTAAGTTAGGTAACCTCGTAGAGTGACCGGCGCGCGGGGGCGCCTCGCGAAGTGAGCCTCGCAACTTTGCAAAAGGCGCTTTGTGCCAGAACTTTGCAAAAGGCGCTTTGTGCCAGTTACCGTGCCCTCCAAATGAGGGGATTGGGTGAAGTCATCACAACACTGAAGTCATCAACTTCTACATCAATCCTACACATCCAAATTCAACAATATGAAAAATACCTACTTGAGACAACTCAATTTCAAATGTGAGACTTGCCAGTCTGGAATTTGTAAAGGTTCTCTCTAACTGTGTGTAAGATAAGTTTTCACAAGTGTTGCATCAAAAAATCACAAAATCATTCTTGGGTATTTGAATGTGTTCATTTCGTTCATTGTAAACAAAATGAGCAGTTGATATTTGAGTTCTTCTTACATTAAAACTCCAATGATCTTCATGTGAACCACTGTTGATACAGTATTTTTCCTTCTTTATAAAACAGTAATTTGGAAAAGGAAGGCTGAGAATTCATACTTTCAGGTCAGTTCACCCAGAATATTGGACATACAGCACACCACAAGAAAAAGTCAGGCAGCTGTGCATAGTTGACATGTGATATTACAAAGGCAACTAATTTGTAATAGGGGGTCGGAAAAACGACTCCCTAAAATTTGCCGACAACTCCCATTTTGGTCAAGGGGTCGTTGGACGGGAGTCATCTTTCCAATCCCCCCTGGGGGATTGGGGCACACACACATGTAGACATAACAATAGGAAGATAAACCACGTGATGCATATTACAAGTTTCTGAGTGAGTGAGATAGGTACACAAAAACACAACATAAGATACCCCATTTTGCACAAGTTGATATGTATATACAAAACCCAAAGAGTAAACATAAAGGAACAGGGGGAGGAAGAGGGTTTGAGAAAAGATGAGTGTTGGTTATTATTGGAGGATGATCTTAAGTAATGATAGGCCTCATTGGTTCTGTATGTCCCAGTTGTTACACATCATTATCATCATCTAAAGGAAAAGAAATGTAGGAATACAAACATGTGAGCTGAAATAAATCAATCCTTTAGAGGGAGATGGTATTTGTGTATATATACTTGATAATAAAAATTAAATAGAGGGAGAAAGAAAAATCTATGGAAGACGTCTGACTGTTTAATGATACTTTTTTTTTCTTTCTTTTTTTTGATTGATTGATTGGTTTGCTTTCTTGCTTGCTTGGTTGTTTAAACATGCTTAATGTGTTTCTTTTTATTATTTCTTTGGTTTTTTTTAAAAAAAAAAAAATCAGAGGAAGAAGAAAAAGATGAAATATTGAGTGATGTGATCAAACATAAAACCTACAAAGACCACACCAAAAAGGAGCAGATGTGAATAAACAGAGTCTCATCAAAGTTGAATTCTCAAACAAACAAACAAACAAAAAACCACTTACTTTCGACTGAATATCCCCCAAAAAACAAAAAGAACAGAAGAAAAACAGGGGTCAGTTTTTGATAAATTAGACGAAGGAATGTGCGCTCGAGAAAGAATGAGAACAACAGAAGAGAGGAAAGACTAAACTTGATCAAATGCAGCAAGAGGTTCAAATTAAGTTTAACGATCTCGAGGTTGAGGGACTGTTTACCAGAGAACTGATCTTCGAGCAAGTCCTCCATCCTCAGCTCGTCGATCCCGTCCTTATGGACCCCTGCATGACTACTACTAGCACCTAACTGCTGCTGCTGGCTGTTCTGATGACTCGAAGTATTACTACTACTATTACCTTTCACTAACTTGTCCATAAATCGGACCTCCACTTTGAAGATCCCAACCTCATCACAACTGATGATGATAAACAACTTGTCGAATTGTTTTGGTGAGAATTCTTTGGCTGCTAATAGGATTCCCTTCTCATACAACCTTTGAGCCTGTAGGTAAAAAAAGTAAGTTGAGCATCCGGTCCGTCAGTACCTTGCGACCAATCTGACACGTCATGCAAGATATGAAGAGACTTACCGAATACTTGTACGACCCGAACTTCGGTTTTCGGCCTTGCTTTTCAAGTGTCCTGACATGATGCCATTGGGGCGTAAAAGGCATGATGAAGCGCTTCTTATTCCCGCCCTTTTTCTGCATAGCAGCCATCGAATCGGAGATATAACTATGATACTGTGCCTCTTGATCTTCCAGATACTTTTGCTTGTCTTTCAGATTCATGAGCGTATTTACTAGCACTGAACTGTCGATCCTTCGTTGAATCCTTTTCCGATTCCGTTGTAGAATATCCTTTGTTCATATCAATCAATCATTCAAATCAACCATTTAGTTTTTTCCTCGACTTTTGAGGGAAATGAATTTAGATTATGCTTGGTGGCTCACATTGGCTAAGGAATCTAAGATGCCCTGATAATTATCGTTTCGATCTAATTTGCCTCTCTTCTCGAGAGCCAACACGTTTTCCAAAGTCCTAGCCTTCAATTCCTGAAAAGAAAGACTGAAGACAATGCGCAGCGAAAACGATTTGAATCAACTCATTTTCCCACCAATTGGCTGTAGGAAAGAGACATACGAATGAACGTCTTCCAAAGTATGAGATGAATGATTTTGGTCCGACGAAAAGATAGCCGGCGAGTCTCGTTTCCGATTGCGCTCGGACTCGATTTCATCCGAGACGATCCGGGCCCATTCGAGCTCGTGTTCTTCGGTCACCGGCGCTAGAAAGGCATCCAAGAGCGTCACCCCCGGTTGCACTTTTAACATCGCCAAGACATATCGCTTTGTTTTTAACCATAGCGCTTTCACATCCGCTTCTGGATCTAAAATCAATTCAAAAAAAAAAATCAGGCCGTCAGTTTTCGACTTTTTTTTTTCTTTCTTTCGTGCTCTTAGAAGCTTTTCTGAAAGAAAAAGGCTCACCTCCTTTGACTGTCAATTTGTTTTGCAAAGGCAATGCGATCTAATGGGTAGACACGTCAGAAGATTTGATAAAACAAAAAATCATGTTGGTTTGTTAGAAAAAAACAGTTTTTGCAAGCTTACCTCTCCAGCACGAGCATGATCCAGTTCAGCCGAAGCAGCACTAGGAGCGGCGCCCAACTCCAAGAGCAAAGCCTTAAGAGGATCGTCGCGCGTTGGAGCCTGTGGAATAAAGAAGAACAAACAGAAACAAACGTTAAATTCCTCAGGGGAGCTTCTTCCAAAAAGGACAAAAAAAACAACTAACGATAAGGTCCAAATCTTGCATGACCAATGAATGAGTCAAATAGATCTCATTAGGAGAGATGTAAATCACCGGCTTGGTCGACACGGTGTGGTCGAGATACTCATCGACAGCGAAGTGGATCTCCGCGTCCTCGACATCGACCACTATCCAACAAACACCCCCCAAAAGAAAGCAGAATCATCAGAGCTCAGCAAACGAAAAGGTGATCAAAAAAAGGGGGGGGGGACTGACGAGCATAAAACCAATTGATGAAAGTCTCAGTGGCTTGACAGACGTATTCGTTTAGCGGAACTAGGTACGGATTGTCGTCCGAGAACAACCGTCCCACAGTGATCTGGTTCAACATCTTCGACACCTCCGACAGGTTCTTCCGCGCAAACGGGCCGATCACCGAGTCCACAACATCATACGTCTCCGGCGCCCTGATAATAAAACGAAACACCCCCCAGGAGAAAAGATGTTTCAAAGAACCTGAGTCAGCTTCTTTCACGTAGAAAAGATCTAGGATGTATCTTTAGACTGACACCACCGCTGGCTGTAAATATCGATAATAGATCATATGGAGGACCACCTTGGCCAAGGAATCTTCACTTTCTCCAGGGAATTTAACCTGCAAACCACGGAACATTTCGCGGGCGGTGTAGCGAATACCGAACGGCATCTTCTGAGGGGCACTGGTGATCGCATACAAGAACCGATCGGTTAAGGTTCGTAACGATTGAAGATCTGTGAACAAACCAACCGTCAATTGCTTTTGCCATTCCATTCGCAATAAGAGTTTTTCTTTTCTTCCAAAAATACGCACGTTTGATGAATAGAGCTAAGGTTTCTTGATCGGCCAGAGCTTCATTAAAGTTGACGTCAAGAGGTCTAGTGCTCTGAATCCCGGTCCGAGTCTCTTCTTCGTTGATGACCGAGCGATAAATCTGGACATCCCCACACCCATGAGATTATTTACCCCGTGTGTTGTTGTATAGGAGAGAGAAAGAAAACTAAGAGGGGACGGGAGAGAGAAGCGAACCTTAATAGGATCAGTTTCGATGTTCATAGTTCCACGGTCGTCGTCATCATTGACGGTTTCATTGATCACAGAGCCCAACAAGTCTTTCAGATACCTCCGTTCCTTAGCACCTAAAAGCGAGCGAAAGTGAACGTGATAAAACAAGTGGTTGAAATTCAACAAATTATACATTGAACCAAAGGAGGAAGGTAGTGAGAACTGACCACGACCGTACTGCATCAAAAGATTGATAAAGGTGAATTTGCCCATGATGAATTCGGACAGAGAGACGACCCCAGCAAGTTCCTCATGAATCGATCTCTGGAAGAGCTTCAAGAGGAGGAATTCTTCTCTGCGCATCTGGGCGTAACCGAACAAAGTCAAGACGACTCCTTCAATGACTTTCTTGACTTTCTCGGTCACCAAAACTGGTCTTCTAGGTGGAGGAGGGTCCTGAATGGGGGCATCCGGATTTGGCGGGAGTGAGGGCAAGTTCTTGATGATGAAGAAGAGACGGGAGAGGTACTCTGGCTTAGTTTGCAGGAGGTAGAAGAATTCTTGGTAGATCTCTAGCTTCCGTTTCGTCGCCTTGTCGAACAGTAAGGATGACCCATTGAGGTTCCCGCCTCCCAGTGAGGAGACGATCGCAAACGGGTCGTTGGCAGCCGCCAGGACCGAGTTACGATAGCTGAGATCCTTCCTCCGTCGGGTCCCCCCGCTTCCGCCTCCACTGGTCCGTTGGACTTCATCCAGGGTGATCTTGTTCTTCACCAGCAGAGCGATCTTCGTATCCAGCTCATTTACATGTCCATCCAACTGTTGGTTGTCTCGGATCAATCGAACTACCTCCGTCCTTAGCCTCGAGAGCTCGATCTCCTCTTGGAAATCCGAATCGGAATCGTTGAGCAAATGAAGGAAGGCTTTGATGGCTGAGATCGGCACATTTGTCCGTCTGGTCAAAGCTTTGTATTGAGACGCTTGCTGACGAGATCGATAGACAGATTGGACTTTGATGACCTTGTCCATTTGATTATGATACTATGCACGTAAAAGGATTGAGATTAGTGTTACAGACTTTGAACCGAGGAAGAGGACGCCAAAAAAAGATGACTAACATGCATCAATCTTTCAAAAAACTGGCGTCGGACCAAGAAGCCCCGGGTCAAGCTCTGGAGGAAGATAGCGGTGGGTATGGAAGAATGTACGTGTGCAAACCAAGGTCGCCATTCGAGTCGGGCCAGCATACCACGACATTGGGCTTGGATGCCGAGCACATCGGGCTGGATGAAATCGAGCTCCTTTTTCTGATTGACAATTTTCTTACGGATCAAGCCGGCCCTGACGAAGGCTTGAAGCCCGCCTACCGACCGAGTCACTTCGACACGATTGAGCGCTTTGGCCTTGGCGGCATATGATCTGCGGACAAGGGTCTTACGACAACAGGCTTGGAAGGCGGTGATCGAGCCCTCACATTCTTGCAAGGATTGGATGAAGTGCAAAAGGGCTCTTCGACTGAGTGCTCCTCGACAGACCGATTGGAACGGGATCGCATCTTGCTCACTGGCCATCAGCTCAGAGACCATCTTGCCGAGTTTTGCCTGGACGAGCCGGGTCCGAATCAGACTTTGGAATTCGACCATCGCCGACTCATGGCGATCGAGCTGATGGATCGGCTCGAAAAACCTCCGTCGTTCCAGGAGGCCTCTGATTTGCGACTGCACTCTGACCACCGAACTGGCCACCTCGACCGTCTCGAGTTGTTTCTTATGTTCCCGGATCGCCTGGGTCATCAGACGAGCCCGAACGAGCGCTTGAACACCGGTGAAAGCCCGTTCACATTCGATTGCAGAGCTCATCACCCTCGTCCGACGAGCCCGTACCAGACTTCCTCGGGCATGAGCCTGGAGGGCCGTCCACAAGAAATCTAGTTTTCCCAAAGTACCACACAGTTTCGAAAAGTTACGCTGAGCTAATCGGCCACGACTGGCGGCTTGTAGAGCAATTGCCCAAATATCAAGTTCTTTTCTAAGCTTGAGTGCTGCTCGACATTTCCGACGGCATCGGGCACCACGAACAGCAGCCTGAAATCCGACGATCCGTGGAATATTGTCCGAAAGGTCGGCCGACAACTGTGCACCTGATGAACGTTGTAGATAACCGCGCAGGGTGGCCTGCAACGCGATTGTGGTAGGTAGATGGTCTTCAAGTCTTGCAAGTAGGACATCGTGCTGAACACGTGAAAGGTAACCACGGAGTTGACTTTGAAAGCCAATTACTTCGGGAAGTAGATCGGTTAATTCTCGATCGATCCCTACGAAGTGAAAGTGCGAGTCGAATTAAATCAATAACGGCCTTAAAAATTCATTAGGATTGGTGATTAGGATTGGTGATTAGAGGAGAAAAGGGTGAGTCATCTGGATGGCTGATGGCTTACGATCGGCCTCTGATTCGACTTCAACTTCAAATTCTTCTTTACATTCTTTGGCTAGCTCTTTGTTGATGTCTCCAAAGTTTGGCATCGATTTGCCAACTAGTCCGGCGTTTGTTTGTTCCAATTGATCATCTATCATACATTAATGAATATTGATTAGTAATCCTACTTGGTAAAGAAAATACGCATCGCAAGAAAAAAATCACTTGAAAACTGTAGTTTTCCAACTAAATTCCCGATTCGTTCAGCCATTCCTCGTTTAGCTAGCAAATGCCTAGAGAAGGACAAGAAAAAAAAATTGAAAGTGTCCTTTGTTAATTATGAGAAGATGTGCTAGAGATAATCTTGCTTTTGACTCACGATAAAACGTGAATACAGTAAATCACTTTAGGTAAGTTTTTGGCATTATATAAATCTACTAATTCAAAAATAAATAACTTCAAAAATTCGCAATTGGGTGTTTATGAAATTAAATCTGATTCAGCATTTTCCAGCAATTAGAGGACAATATAGATGGAGAAGGTGAAGAATAAATCGAAGGTGTGTAAGCTTACTTCGGGTAATCTTACAAATCTTACAAACTGAAAGAAGTAGTTGATGTTATCACTATGCCGGTATTGGAGTTTAGGATGAATGAAGATCCTAGGGACATGTTCCCGCCCGCGGAACCTTCGAGCGAGCCGAGCAAGGATGACCCCATCGCGCAGAGTCTGTTCGAATTCGGTGACGGAGAGGTTGTGGAGTTGGTGAGTGACAGGGTCGGCAGAAGGAATGGGCGCGCCGCTCGACGATGGTATGGGTGAGCCGGGCGGGGGTGGTAAGGAGGGACTGGCTGCTGGTATCGGGCCGTCGGCTGGATTCATCTCTAAGACTAATTCTAACCAATCCTTAGCCCTAAAGAAGAAAAAAATGAAGCATTGTCTTTAGGACTTGGGGTAAAACAATCAAGAGGAACCTCAAAAACAAAAAAGACATTTGTTGAAGACTGACTCTCCGACGTGACAAAGATACTCATACGCCTGTAACAAATGACGCTGTGACTCGAGCAACTTCAAACTACCGGAATACCGATTGTTGTAGGTCGAAACAGGAGATTGAGGTAAATCTTTCGTCAGTCTTAATCGGCCGTGTAATCCAACTACATCTTCTACTTGTCCGACCGGTATCAGTTGATCGGCTTCGGAATGAGATTGATTGGAGCTGTGAGCACGTCGAAACTGATAGCTGAGAGTGTAAAAGAAATGTATGTCAGTATTATTATTATTTTTTTTCATGGGGTTTACATCCTCAGGTTTTTTTATCTTTTACAGATATGGAAGGAAAATATACCTGCTGAGGTCTTGTCCACCATTTTCATTGACGGGTTCCAGTTGAGATCGGTCTGGATAATGGGTATCGGGAGAAGAGTGAAAAGGATCGAGGTTGAGTTTAGAAGGAGGATCGATGACGGAGAGTGGCCGGCGACGGTTGGCGGAGGAGTTACGTTGGAGTGCCGAGGAATGGTTGCCGGTCATGAGGCTTGAGGCGCTGATGGGGGGCCGGTTGGGTTCATAGGAGGAGCTGTCGAGGGTGCTCGTACTGAAACGCTTCTGATGATGTGCTGTGGTGAAGGGAGGGTTGTTGCTAGTGGATTGAAGGGCCGAGCCAGCCATGCCATTACTACTACCGCGCCTGTGGATGCCTAGTGATGAGATGTGTGGGGAAGGAGTATAGCTGGATTGGTAGTTGGTGGTGGTAGTTTGATTGAGACCGAAGCGGCCTCTGATGGCATCGAAGTTTGATTTGGGAGGGTAGATGATCGGTCCGGCGCTGTAGGATTTCTTCTGCATGGGCTGGGAGGAGTGTAGACTGACTGGGATCGGTAGGTTATTGGGGCCGGCGAGGATCGAGCTAGGTTGAGCTGGTTCTGGTTGCCGGGTGGAGAGACGGGATGCTAGTGAGTTTGATCGGTTGTGCTGCTGTGGTGCTGGTCGAGTTGATGAGCTGTTGTTCTGGGCTTGATGATGGGCTGAGAATTGGTTGTCCATCTTGTTTGTTGATGTCGAAGGTGTATTGTGAATGGGTTGTTTGTTGGCTTGGATGGTTAGTTCGTTCTAGTTCGTTATTTTCGAGATCGGCTTTGGTGATGGTTGATTCGTATGGGGATGAGAAAGAAGAAGCGAAAGGAAGCGTAAGAGAGAAAGAAGTTAAGAAGGAAAGGAACAGCCGAGGGAGGAATACGGCGATCAGTTGGAAGAAGATCTTACTGTACCAACCCACCGTGTGGAACACCGAGACGGACCCCCCGGGGTAGTCAGCCCCCACCCTACAACATACAAGGAGTATCCCGAAAGAAGACCTGCCTCAAACAAAACTGATCAAGTCCTTGGATAATTTCATGCTTTCTGCTCAACATAAGACAAGAAAGACAGCAGCTGAGAGGCCTGCAAGACAACAAGAGCTGATCGAATGCAATACTGGTCATGTCTCATCTTCTTTGGGTATTTTACATGGGCTTACTTGTGCTAAGCCTAGCATGACTGGGAAAAAGGATTGATGGCTTCCCTATATTTACAATAAGCTCATCCTTATCTCTTATATCTCATCTTGACTTTCTTTTGGAAGACAGAAATTTGATGGGGTGGTCTATCACTGCGCGTCCGTAGCGAGACCACTTGACGTCCCGCGCTGGCGCACCCGGGACTTTGGCCCCTGATGACCACGAGGGAGCCGCTTTGCCTACATACACAAATTCAAGTTCACGATCGGATCGACATACCAAAACACTTTCAAGAAGACGCTGCTTTCAATCGACTCTCTCTCTCTCTTCAACAACATGTCAATCTTCGGTCGAAGTAGCTCGTCTGCTCCTGCTCCAAGCGCACCATCAAACATCGATGCCGCCGCTACCGAATTGGAAATGGTCTCAGATCTCTTCAACCGGTCCGTCTCTCTTTCTTCCATCCTCTATATATCCTCCTCCTTCTTTTTTTAAAAAAAATTCTGGGGGGCTGATAAGGTTTGCGGGGGTGTTATTCTGGGATTGTATACAGGTTGGTAAGATCTTGTCATGGCAAGTGCATCGGAAATCGGTATTTGGAAGCCGATTTGACGAAGGGAGAAAGCACCTGTATCGATCGGTCAGTCCCATTTAAACCTCACCTTAATTAGTCTTTGGGTTACTCGATGCGTCGGTTTATCTTGACATTTCTCCCATTTTTGAACCTTTTTTTTTTTTTGGAAACGGTGACGGCGATGATAGATGTGTGGATAAATTCTTCAATGTGAATACTAAGGTCGGCGAACGGATCCAAGCTAAAGGCGCCGCCAGTCAATTGTCTCAATCATAATCTTGCTCATTTTCCATCCACATACACAAAAAAGATTAAATTCGAACAAAACAAAAAAACAATCCCTTAGCAAGATTTCAGTTTGGCAATGATTAGACTACTAGGATGCTCACTATAATAGATCAACGGTGCATTTTCAGAAGAAGATGTACCGCATGTTCGTCTTTTTTTTTATCACCATGTGTCGATTGAAATGATATCCATTGAGCTATAACCCGATAAAATATGTTTACAAAACCGACTCGAGTTCAGTGGTACTCCATCTAACTCAGACATAATAAGAATGTAGACTAGTACATACATCTGGGAACAAGTCTGCTACTTGGATCAGTTTCATAGCTGTGATTAAGAGTCACTAGTGCCGAAAGAAAACTTGATCATGTATCTCTCACAAGCTCCTCTTGTCCACATCAACAGTCATCATCACAAACAAGAATCTTGCGATAATTTCTTAGATTTGGGATGATTACAGCGTTTGTGTAGCCATCTCTGTGTTTCGTTGAGTTTGCATAGTTAAATCAAGTTGACCTCTTTACAAATCTATGGTGAGGTAAGGATTTTATTTGTAGGAAGGAAATGCACTCCCGAGAACATCAAACTACCATCATAAATTCTGTGCCGAGTTATATACATAAGAATTATGATGCTCAATAGAACTCGTTCTCTCTCATCCATTTCTGGCCTTTTGCTTATATAACCAAGTCCTCTGAGACAAATCTTTCTTTTTCTCAAAAATCTTGACAAGGATTCTGCGATAATTTTGCGACATAATGATTATAGAAATGAATTGAAAAATACTCTGAAGAACATGGTATTTCTGATTTCCTATTGATCTCGAAACAATAGATCTTGTTTTTTTTTCCTAGGTTTTTTGTTTATACGATGTCCTCTGCATTAAAGCTTTGATTTTCTTTTTCTCAGAAACCATGTTAAAAATCCGGCGATAATTTTGAGACATGATGATGATAGTAATTATTTGATAAATATTCCGGGAGTTTCTTGAACACAAGTGCGGTGATTTTGATTTCTTATTGATTTCGACCCAGTATTCAAGGATATGCCAAGCATGAGCCATCTGACATCTTTTTTGATAGACGAAGGCGGTGTAATCTTTTTCGCCTCGGATTCTGCTCGTCATCCGCATGATCTCGATGTTGACCTTGGCCCAAGGATGGCCATCGAGGAAATCGGAATCCTGCTCTCGAACTTTGGTCCAGAAATCTTTGATGAAATTTAAAAGATTATCAACCGTCTCTGTGCGAAGAAACCCAGGCTCGTGTTCATTGAATAGTGTCAGATAGCTTATAATTAAAAAGGTCACCATGGTCGATATGATTTCGATGTACCGAACAATCTTGTCAATCCGATTCATCCTCCGCGGTGTGAGCTTTACCGAAGGGATCGCAAGCATTTTTTCTCTCATTGGCTTGATGATTTGGTCTTTCAAGATGATGTTTTTACTGAGAGCTAATCTCTTTTCAGCTAGACTCAAGAAAAATTCACCAACGGCTTCTCTCCTAATGTCGTCATCGAAATTGGCGGGAAAAATCCCCTCGAGCCTTCGAAAAATCTCCAGGAAACTCTCTGACTGCGATCTCGGAATCCAAAAAACCTCCTCCCGGCTCGACGGAGTTTTGCATCGATTCAATTGTTCAAAAACCCATTCGGCTCGATAATCTTCGGTGGGTTCTTCAAGAGTAGTCTCTTCGTCCTGTGCAAGAACGTCCTGCAAATAATCCCAATTACATACTTTGAATAGCCCAGTTGAAATTTGGCTTGCGGCTTCCTCTTCTTCATCGAGATTTGAAGTTTGCTGGCCTATGTCCAATGCTTTTTCTTCTTCTACTTGCAGCTTAGATTTTGGAGAGCTCCCTTTGGTATTGAACGACGTCGGATAAACTGTCATCAAATTTTGAGTAGACTGGAGAGGGGATCCTTTTTGAATTTCGGTCAGAGTCTGCTCTACTTGCTTGAACTTTTTCTGAGCTTCCCCATTAGTTTCCAAATGATCTCCTTTGCGCTTAGAAGAAGACCTAGAATATAGATCCTGCGCAACGAAAGTATTTCTGCCACGAGAAGGCGTACTGCCCTCCGGCTCGCATCGTGAACTAGATGACTGGACATCCACAGCTGGCCCCGAAGGGGACAGAGGCTTCAACGTGGGTTCACCCAATGAATAGTGGTATATCACAACTGTCTTCAAACTCCCAGCTTGATCCGTGACGTGTTGAGCTAAAATTTCAGGCTGGGTCCCCGCAGGTGTCTCTGCTACCCTTTCCATCCTTGGTTCAGACGGCCCCGGGATGCCGGACAGGCGTTTTTTCGGAGCGCTGCATCCGGCTTGCTCGAAAAACGATTTCACCTTCGCTTGAGCGGAGCATTCCCCATGATCGCCTTCAAGGCCAGCTGGATGAGCTGGAAGATTTGCATTCAAGTTGGGTGCTTGAGAAGAATTGATTTGTCGCGCTTCGCTTGGGATTCCAATGGCCACGGAATCCGGATGCACAATTGGCCTGAGAGGAAGGACTTCATCCACCACAGGCGGCGGTGCATTCAGGTCTGGGCATACGAAGGCTGCGTTGAAGATTTCTTCCGACCGCAGACGTGGTATCAGCCGCGAGCTTATCGTACCGATCAAGAACATTGTCGAATACACTTCGAATATAGGCCTTCTCATCCTTCGCGCCAACTTGAAAGAAGGGAGAATATACAAAACCGTGCTCCTTTTGGGGTTGAATGACTAGAAGACTTGAACAAGATGTATGCGAATCAAGGTTTGGTTGAAGGCTTCGGCCCATCCAGGCTGGAACCTGCTGGAACCTCCAATCTTAACAACTGAACAACATACCATGAAACAATCGGTAGATCACATAAATTAGTTCGCTGAAGTGGGGCAATCGTGATGAAGGAAGATGCAGATTGATGCAAATAACATCTGCTACATTTCTTTTGCGGAGTGTTTCGCGAAAATTTTTTTTGGCTGGAAATATCCCATGTACAGCCGACCCGCCCCCTTCCCCGAGCCAGACCAGTGGTACCCGAATCCCCGATGAGAGGAATCGGACCCTGACCACTCTTCACTCCTATTGGTAGTGTACCGACGCACTTCTGCTCAGTCCAGTCCACTCTCCTCGCCCTCGGATTGATTGTGCCCCTTCCCAAATATGGTTCAAGTAAGTTTTCCGCTTTGCTTCCTATCTAAACACTCCCAGCTTGAAAACTGAAATCTCTATTTCGGGCCTCTTAGGAAGCCAAATCAGAACTTGAACGCTTTTTGAAGCTCCACGCCCAGCATGGCAACGCAGAAAAGTTATTCTATCATCTTGAGAAGGCTGCTGGATGTATGTAATTCTTCTTCGGTTGATAACTAATTTATCAACAGCAACTGATCTTCTTCGACACCCCTGACGAATCTGCAGCGGAAAAGGTGCATCAACACAACGAAGAATTATACAGTCTTTTTGACTTTAAACACGCTGACTCCAGAAGGCAAGGAGTGGTCACCGTTTCCTGGGATCTCTTTACTACAGGTTCGATATCCCTTGAGGCACTAATCAAGATGCTCCGACTCAAAGCTGATGGTCAAAAAATCAAGACACTGATCCAGCGTGCTCACTTCGTCCGATTCCCCGAGCGCCACGCTTCTGAATTGACCGAAGCAGAGATGCTTGCCCAACTGGGGCTTTCCAGCACTTCCGCCAAACAGATAGTTGACGCGTCGCCTAAGATCGACTGGTCGACCGAAATCATCCAGCAAGGGTTCGACGCAGAATATCAGGGACACGATCTGATTGTTATACCAACCCTAGAAACTCTTCGTCGTTATGCAGGCCAATGGAGAGAAGATGCGTACGAGGCACCCTACACTTCAATTATCAGCCCGACCATGAGCGGTAAAACTCGATTGCTCAAGGAGCTGGCTAAACACGTATGTGTGGTGTATATCTGTCTCCGGAAAGCAGGCTCCACTGGCCAGCCCCCTCGTTCCGACCTTGCTAGACACTTTATCCCAGAGAAAGGACAACTGAACATGATACAGCACTATTCCCACCTATTGATTGCAATTCTCAAGACGGTGTATGATTTTTTCAAACGACCCGACATAAGTACTAAAAGCTTGGAAGATCAATTATCTGAGTGGTTTGACTACAGTTTTCAAATCAAAAGTACTTCGAAGGTTGAATTTAATACAAAGGTCGAATACAAATTGAATAACTTGAAAACGGCAAGCAGCTCAGAGTTGAACCTCACTTACAATGACATACGACTAGGCGACCTACCGACGAGGAACAAACTCGCTACTGCGGTATCAGACGTGGATGAAATTATGGAATCTGAAAAACACGGAAATCTCAAAGTCCTCTTGGCAATAGACGAAGCCAGCAACCTGATCGATCATACAGACAGAAGACTCCATATTCCATACTTTTCCTTGTTTCGTCAGGCTTTATCGACAATACCTTCCTCGATGGGGTTCTTCAGCGTCTTCACCGATACAACGTCCCGGGTCGCCAACTTGAATCCTACCCTAGACCGAGACCCCAGCAGCAGGTTCCACGGTCGTGGTGTTGATTTATTTGCGCCGATCTACAAAATCTCAACACTTGATGTGTTTGTCCCAAAAGACAAGCCTAGCTCGTGGAATGATTTGCTATCGCCCGAACGGCTCTTTAGCTATGGCTGTCCATTCTATCTGTTGTATTTCAAGGGTGCAAGGAAAATAAAACCAAAAGGTGCCGTCCAAACCACGGCAATGATTGCTCAGGCAAAATTACTGTTCAAGACTCAATCCGCTTCTCCCGGAGTACTGTCTAGTCCGCAATGTTTCGCCATACTGGGCTCGATCATACAAACTCGCTTATCTCTACACGCGCCAATAAACTCGGAACTCATTGCTAGTCATGCGGCGCATTGTATGTTTATTGACTCAGAGAGAAATGATTGTCAGCGATTATCCCCCACAGTTTGTCTATGCATCTGCAGCTAACAGAGCTCTTGCATCTGATGACAAGCGTTGGATCGAGTGCATCGATACTCTTGCTTCCGCGGTGCAAAAAGGACTCGTTGCCCTTGGCGACACCGGAGAAATGGCGACAAGATTGATCTTGATACGCGCTATGCAGAAAACAAAGCGGATTTTTCACAAGAACCTCGATATGATCCCAAATGGATACTCAGTGCGATTGAAAGATTTCCTTCAAACCTTGAGCGGCAAAAACCCTGACGACATGGAATTTGACTGTTCCGATGAGGAATACAGAAACAAACTCTTGGACCATGGGCAGGTCTTTTTCAATCACTTTACCCGGATTTCATATACACCCAGCGCCACCGACTTCTTGGAGCTTTTGTACCGAGGCGTTGCGGCCCAATGCAAGGATCAGCAACCTGGACTTGACAATCTTTTCACCATCTATCTCGCACCCCCATCCACATCTCACTATTCAAAGCTAGATCTAAGCAATATCACATTTTGCGGTGTTCAAACAAAAAATCGGATGGGTTCAGTTCGCATGGATGAGAGTCACCACTGGTCCAAAAGCTTTGCCGAAATTGAAGGCATCAACAATCCCTATCTTATTCTGTTATTCAGTTTGAAAGCCACCTCTAGTCAAGTAACCTGGAAGCCTCCGGAACTCAAGGAAGACGCCCAAAGAGTTGCTTACCAGTTTGTCTTACGCCTGAAATGCGCTCTGGGCTAGAGCGGCTGATAACCGCAATACCAGACGACTTACTGAATCTTCACGATAAATGCAACCAGCATACCAAAGATTGGGTCAAACAATTGACCCCAGTCTTCTATCCAAGGGCTCCCGAAGAACAGACACCTCAGTCACCTGAACCTTCCCTGTCTAAACGTCCCGCACCAGAACCTCCCCTGAAACCAGCTCAACTCCCAGCAGCAAAAAAGCAGTCAAACAGAACCCAACAGGTGACCAAGCAAACCTGGGCACCTTCCCCAAAACCACCTAAACGTCCTGCACCTGAACCTCCCCAGAAGCCATACAACCTCCGAGCGCCAAAAAAGCAGTCAAGCAGAACCTAGAAGGGGTCCAAGCAAACCTGTGAGCAGGCTAGCACAAGTACTGCCCAAGTCTGAATATGATTCTCATTAGCTTTTGTTTTGCAGGATGAATCTCTCCAATCATTCCGGAGCTCAGACACTCTCCCTCCTTGGATCTGGACAAGCCTTTCCGCCGACATTTCAACTACCAGCAATCACACTGCCCTTTGATTTCTTGCTCTTTTCTCATCATCTGCACTATGCTCTTTTCATCAAACAGTCTTGCTCTCTGCTCCTCCTCCTTGCTCATGCATTCCATCAGTCCCAAAATAACTTACACTGCTTATTTGACATTCCATTTTTTTAACATCTTGATCATCCGTTGTTACCAGCCAAAAAAAAACTGCTTTGTGAGGTCTAAAATAATTTCAGACAATAACAGGATGACTTGTCTCAGCTTCATGCATGTGTCCAATCAGCCCTGAAACCCCTGAAAATAAAAGAGCACAGAACTGAGAGATATAATGTCTAGAATCAGAAGTATGCAAGATTGGAAAGATGAAATAATCTTGTATGGTCATACCTGAGAGCAAGATTAATGTTACTGAAAACAGTATAAGAAAAATGACATCATATAGAAGAACGATTTTATTGGCAAAACAAAGAAGCCAGTGTCTGCAGGAAAGAAGAAGATAAATCAACTATGCCGCCCCCAACTTCTCCTCTGCTTGCCTTTGCAGGAATCAAGAATCACAATATTCTGCAACACACATATGCAGTCAATCTGGTCGCAATGGTAGACCTATTCACCTTTGTCAACATGTTGGAAGAAGAATGTGTCCGTTGAGTACACAGCTGATTGGTGAGTATCTAATGTCACTACAAAAAGTCTTGAATCACATTTGCAGAATGTGCGGTAACATTGCATGTCACATGCAATGTCACCTCACATTTGCAAAAGGTGATTGAATTTGTAGGGCCAAAAATTCAATTGCATTTTGCAAATGCAAAGTGATATTGCATGTGACATGCAATGTGACCACACATTCTGTGAATGTTATTCAACAATTTTTGTATTGTGTTTTGGCGGGAGTGTCACAAACTTTGGAATCACAACACCCCCTCAAAACTTTGAGGATGTTTGGCCCAGAATTCTTGCAGGGCTACAAGAACCTAATGACCCAGCCAAAACTCAGGAGTTGTAAATCACCACCGTAATTTATAGTGCTTTTATCCAATCAAGATTTGAACTTTTTTTTTTGAGCTCAAATTTGGGGTTTGCTCAACCCTGGGCACACCACAAGAAGATGACTTGAGTTGAAAAAAGTCAAGCTTTGATCAAAAAAAAAGAAAAAGTTGTAAATTCTTTGAGAGGATAACAAAAAAAAACTGGACACAGGAAAATATGTACAGGCCTTGTCTGTCCTGGAAAGAAATCACATAGATGTGAATAAGGAAGTGCCAAGAGAGTAAAACACACAAAACAAAGTGAGTGTTCAGCCCAATTCTAAAAACTCACCACATAGGGATTGCCACATTAGTCATGGGCTTCCACTGGCATGGATATCTCCAATGCTTGCTACTGCTCCTGCCATGGAGGCCTAGTTAAGCCTAGGGTATACCATTGGTTTGGAGGGTATACGTGTCCACAAAAGAAGTCATGTGGAAAAAAATATTCCTTTGGGCCATCAACAATTGGCAATACCCAAGGGAAGGCCACGGGCATCCTATTCCCTTGGGTCGGCGGTGCCGGGGGGCCTCAGAGTTGCCGGGTACCCCACAGGAGCCAGCTCTAAGCTGAACAGAAGTGAAACAGCCCACAAACCAAAAATATTGTTGCACTGGATGTATGTGAAGTGAAGTATTCTGATAACAAAACCAACAAGGTGGCTGAGCTGACCTGGATGCTTTTCCTCAAACAAGCAATTGGCCAGATTGCTTTAGAACTAAATGAGCTGGCCGATGTGGATTTAATATAGAGATGGGTGCGGCACATCCGGATATCCGCTCACCATTTCAGCGGAATTGGACATCCGCATCCGCTGGCGGGTATCCGCGCGGATATCCGCGGATATCCGCCCCCTTTTAAGGGTGGACAGATGTTTTTTTTTTAAAAAAAAAAAAAAAGAAAAAAAAGAAAAAAAAAATTGGCTGGTTTTGAAACCAGCTTGTTGGGAGGAATCCCTCCCGGCGAGCTGGATTGTGTACCAGCTTGCCGGGAGGGATTCCTCCCGACGAGCTGGGATGAATACCGGGTATGTACACCAGCTCCTCGGGAGGAATCCCTCCCGGAGAGCTGGTATGTACACCAGCTCGCCGGGAGGGATTCCTCCCGACAAGAGGGTACAAGAGATTGCAGATGAGAAGTCGGTTCCTTGGAAAAGAGAGTCGACCTCGACAGTGGTTTGGGCGACGGAGGAGAGCGTTCAATTGGCTCGTTCACATGCAGATCGAAGACGACGAAGAGCACGGGCGTCACCATTGATATCGAGCTTGGTCTTTTGCTTAAATAAACTCATTCTTGAAGTGTTTGAGGAGCGTGTTGTCAAAGTCCTCGCCTCCCTAATGGGTGTCACCGGCGGTAGCCTTGACAGTGAAGACACCACCAGAAATTGAAAGGAGGGAAACATCAAAAGTACCACCTCCAAGATCAAAAATCAGCACGGTTTGCTCCTTCTTTTCTTTCTTGTCGCAGGCTTCACCAAGACCATAGGCAATTGCAGCGGCGGTGGGCTTGTTGATGATACGGAGCACATCCAGACCAAGAATGAGTTGATGGCTAAGAACCGAGGTGAGATGAGATTGGTGATGTGGGTAGAGGAACCTGGTTACATACCCTCTCGTCGGGAGGAAAAACTACCAAAGATGTGCCATCTCTGTAAAAATTTGGCTTCGCCATCGAATATCCCTCCCCGCATTCCTTGGGGGTC